TTGTTGTGGTCGAAGTGCAGGACCCGGCACTTGGCCTTGTTGAACCTCATACAGTTGGCCTCTGCCCATTGATCCAGCCTGTCCAGATCCTTCAGTTGAGTTTCTCAGCATTTTGAGTTTTCTCAGCATTGAGTTTCTCAGCAATGAGAAATGAAGCTAATGCTGTGCTAAAACCCAGACAAAAGCTTTTAAGTAAAAGCCCCCAGTATCTAATTTTTATCCTGATGTGAGAAGGGAAAAGTTCTGAAATCTGCCACGGTTTTAATGGGGAGGAAAACCATTTTCTGACAGCCTTTTATCTCACTCTCCTGAAACAGTACTGAATATCGGCTCCTCTTCTCTAGAGTCACATGCAAACCCATCTGGGAGACACAATGTTAAAACTACTGTTTTCTATGGGTCAGTCTGCTCAGTAGATGGGTCTTCTTTGTATTTTGTCCACCCTATTTTTGATGTATCTTCCTTTTCGTTCCTAAAATTGGAGTAGAAGGCAAATGTACATACAGAACAACAAGGCTAAGTACCACGTCCTGCACTTGGGGCACAACAACCCAAATGACATTTACAAAGTTTCATGAGGCTCAGCTTCGACTGGAATGGCTGCTTCCCTTCAGTAGCCCAGTCTTTCTCCTGAACCACCCATGTCCATAAGAAGAACATTAGCATAACATTAGTAAGTGAATTGGTAAGGGAATTTAAATGAATACACTGTGTGTCTAGATCATCAAATTGGTTTGTTCTGCATTTTGCCCCAAGGACACCCCAACGAAGGTGTTAGTTGTCTCCCAGGCTGCATCTGGAGCAAGGCACCTGGTGTTCTTGGTGAGGAACAGAGGGAGGTTCCCTCTAGTGGCTCCACCTCCAAGGGGTACGCAGGTGAGCCAGTATCTACCAGACCACATAGGCAGAGTGTTGCTCCAGGCATGAACCACAGAGGCAGTGCAGACATACTTAAAAAGAGTCAAAGGTCACGCTCAGTTCTCATAAGAGACATTGTGTACAGATGGTTTCAACCACAATCCAAACGTCTTACAACATAATACAGTGCAGAAAATTACATTTCTGAGTGTATTTATTGAGAAATAGTAAAGATGTACATAATTTTACAAGCTTTTTATTTAAATTTACATTTTCTTAAATTATGTACGCCCTAATAAACTATAATCTGCTAATACATGACAGAGACCCTTGGCTTCAATTACATCTCCAAAATGCTGCTATTGCTGGGATTTTGGCTCATGTCACTTCAGCTCCTCTTCAGAGATACTAAATACCTTATTTATTTAGAGCGTATGCCTGTTGTCAATCCTGTAAAGCAGAGATGACTTTTGAACCAAACCCCTGGATCTGGATACAACCTCACAGCTAAAATCCAGTCTTCCTATTGTGGGCCAAGTCCATATTCTCCATAAACTTTGCAATTCCGATTGGCTGCAGGACTTCATCTGCCCCAAGATGAAGTGTGCTTATATACAGGATTTTGATTCGGCCTCCCTTGTCAGTGCTTACACTGGAACATACTCTGCATCTGCTTTAGATGCAAACACTGCTGCTCACAGTGGTTTCTAATGAAAACAGATCTGCGAGCTGGCTGCCACCTATACCTTTGTGCACAATCTCCATAGGCATCTAAAAAGAAGCATAATTTTTAGTTTTTCTTGTCGTCTTTTACTGATATGCTGAACTGCACGGAGTTATATCTACTTAAGATACTAGCTTGTGACTGCGATCACACCGTATTTGTATTCTGCAAGCTGACTATTCAAATGCCTGATGAACGTTCAAGTTCTGTACTGACTGAGAACTGCTAGAGCATCAGCAAAAGGCATTCTGTACTTCATTTGCCCAAAATACTTGCAAACATGACATTGTGCTCAATCTTGCTTCTTGAGGAGAGGTTGAAGGGAAGGCAGTTTCTGATTAATATGCTGTTGAATTAAAATGCACTCAATGTCAAAATGACCAGCCTTCAGTTTAATCTACTTAGGCCCATCTGGAACAGTCTGGCGTGATGTCTCTGCCTTGGTTATTTTCTCCTCTGTATTGTTCATGCAGGAAAATGTATCAGGGTAATTTCTCTCTAGAAGGCAGGCATGTACTACGCACTTCTATTTAAAAATATATAACAATTTTTGCTTAGCAAGAAAGTATTTGTGCTCTGAAATTTTGTTTTAGAATTTTAGTGTTGTGAAGGCTTTTGAGCTAAATCCTTGAATTTTCTTTGGATTTTCATTTTTGTGGATTATTTATTTTTATAATTAACAACTTCTATGGTAGCACACAGATTCCAAGTTAAAATCAGAACTTTGTCATGCTCTGTAAAACTTCCCTCCTTTTGCCTCCATCTCCTCTCTAGAAGTCCAGTGTATTAACTGAGCCATACCTGCCACCGAGAGCTAAGCACAGCTCCAGCGAAGGCACTGCAAACCTTTTGTAAGAACCGACCGTTGTTGCTGGGCTATTGTTTGTTCTTACATCTGATTAGGAAAAGAGCACTGAAAAGCTGAACAAATATAACCTGAGAAATAATATTGCTTCATGCATTTAAATAACACTATGACTTGTCCAAAAAAAAAGAAAAAGAAGCTAGTTCACCATACCAATTTTTTGTTTTATAACAGCTTTTATGTTCATATTCTCATGCAATGTTATGATGCTGGAACTTGAGAAGGGCTTTGTTTCACTTTTTTTCCTATTCCAGTAGAAACACTTTTTTCCCACTTGAAAAACAACAAAAAGCTGGTACCACAGCTTTTTATGAAAAATGTACGTCCAGGCCAAATTTGCCTAGACAGGTACTGTAAATATAAAGAAGGTATGCATCATTTTTACTTGTTGGACACACAAATCTGTCACCCAAGTAACTGATGTATAATGATTTCATATGTGGCAAGTCTCGTGTGATGGCTTCACACTGTCCAGTAATAACAAATCATCATTAGTTTGTTGTGTAGTGACTTGTATATCCAATTCCAACAAAACAAAGAAATTCCATTTTTATGAATTTATAGAGGAGTTTTGCCTTGGACTTTTAGTGGCTCCAGGCTTTCACCTAGCAACTAACTTTCATATAACTTACAAAGTTTAAACCAACAAAGTTACTACCTGGTAACTAGACATATGGTGGCTTCACAGCACAGAGAGGGAAGATCTTCACCTCAGTGCTGACTACTGTGCTGTAGGCATCCTGGAGTTTACATTTAACACCTTCTCTTGCACACACCTCTTCACGCAGTCAAAGCACAGGCAACCTCAGGTGTCCCCACGTACAGTGTTAAAAATCAAAAAGCAGTTTCCATCTTGCGCCATGAGAGACGAACCATTTGCTGTTGTTTCAGAGTGCTCGAGCCGCACGTATAGCGCCAGGGACCGTGTGTGCAATATGGACCTTGCTCATTTTCCAAAGCTGAAAGGTAGCATGTTCGAAACTTGCAAGGTAATTATCACTGTATGGACTGTAATTTTTAATAGAAATGATGAAAATTAAGGTATATATTTCTCAGTATTTCTTCATAAAAATCCCCTCCTTATCCTCTCCTCAGATGCCTATTGACATGCTATTGAAATTTCTGATTCAAAAACATTTAGGATTGCTCCTGTGTAATATTGTTGTGCAATCAAAAACGGGTGAGGAAAATAATGTTGATCTGAAACAGAAGACACATAAATGTGGAACAGAATGGAAAAGCTACCAAAACGCTGTTATATTTACCAAAGTGGACTGTGCTCCTGAAATGGCCAATGTCATCATGCCGGCAATTTCAGCAGCTTGTGTTGACCCTGAATATGCTAAATGTAGCATCATTTGTGCATCTGACTAGTCAGAGATTCTTTAGTAATTTTTCATTCCTATCGAACTTGTGTTTTATTCCCCATCAGGGCTTAACTTCACATTTTCACCTTCCAGTAATGCTACTTGCACACTTTGTCTGCTGGGTGGGAATTTGTTCTTTTATACACAGCAGATGCACTCACTGTATGGCTTTCAGTGGACTAATTCATGAATATGGCTCTTAGTTCTTTTGTTGGAGAATCAAGAAATGATGCTGAAGGTGTTAAATGCTTTTTTTTAGCTTTCAAGGTAGCGGTCCCCAGTATCAACCTCCCAACATACTCTTAACTTTCCTCAACCAATCAGTGGAATTATTCAGAATCCAAATAAAAACACAAACTTTCCTTTATTATTTTTTCTTACTGCAACAAATACTTAAATGCTTTGGTGCAGCCCTGCTCTTTGATTTCTTTGAATTTCAAATTTGGTCATGTCAAAAATTATCACAAAGGTTTTTTTGTTTATCTACATAGTTTTTAACCAAAATTACATTATAACACACAAACACAGTCTTCTCTTTAAGGCACAACACATCATTATGCACATTCTGTTTGCCAAACTTATAAAAGAGACAATATTATATAACCCTCTCCCTCCCTCCCCCCCCCAAAAAGAAAGAAAAATTGCATCCACTTTCAAAATCAGCTGCTAATAAAGTCACAGTAAATTATTTTCATCAATAATTTACACAAATTACAGGTCTAGACAGGATTGTCATTATACAGTCTGAGTGCATTCCAATTCAGATTTTTTGGGTTAGGTAGGCTAAAGTCTGGTTCAAACCTCAGTGCTGAGAATATATCCCATTTTGAGGAATGTTGTTGAACACCACCTTGTCGGCTGAAAAACGCATGTTGGTGTTTTGCCAGTTCGAGTCCTTTGTTCACTCCTGTCAGGGCTCACTTGGTGTGTACCAGCAACCTCCACAGTTTTAATTCATTTAAAAACGTTGCATATATAAGACCATAGAGCTTCCTTACGTAGCACTAATGTTTTAACTCCATTCAGCAATCTGAATTCTTCAATTTGGAATTTTTAATTCCAAATATTTCTTCCCTTCTTAAGACAATTCATATGTGTAAAGCCAGAGGCATTGAATCACACATAAAAATTCAGTGTACTTGAAATATATAGATTAAAAAAAAGGATCGCCAACTTTAGAACACAGTTACAAATACTCTAGTTCCAGTGCTTGATGGAGAGCCAAGAGGTCCGAATGACTGGATATCCTCCAGAAAGGCATGTTGTGCTGTGTTTGTTAGAGGGGGGAAAAGGTCAGGAACGATGAACATTGCGACACAGAGCGGTATATGACACACGAGGCTAGTCAGATTACCACCATGTATTTTACACCACTGTGTTTCTGGATTGATTTTTGCTAGTAAAGTACTGACAAAAATCAGACCAAAATAGATCTGAGCTTAATAGTTCAACTGATGTTAAAATAATTAGATAATCTTTCTTAAAAGTTTCTTTGGAAAGAGCCCGTTATTTAGTAAGTGCTATTTGCTTGTTGTTAGCATGCAAACCCATACGAAGGAGCATTAATAGGAAATCCCTTTCTGCTCCACTTATTAGACTTTGCAAAATACTGAATGATCATTTAAAGGGCTATAAGACTTTCATTAAAAGAGGCTTCACACACAACACTTTCAAACAGAGTTGAATTACATTTTTCTCCATCTAGGGGGAAAAATTAAATCTCTTTGGATAAGAAAATAACAATTTCTGGTTTAAAAAAAGATAATTTGTGTTGCAGAAAGCATCAGTGTCTGTGAGAGATGCAGATATATGCACTATTATCCTTCAGCAATTCATCAGAATAGAAAAAAAATCATACTTTCATCTTGTGTTCAGATCTATTTGTAATGTGCTATATTCATCCACCTCTCTGAATTCTGTATCTATGCATGCAATATAGCCAACGTTAAGAAAAAAGCATGCCAAACTGGAAAGTACACAATCCAACCACCTTTGTTTAGCACAAACTATAAAAGACCCATCACCAGTACTGTACCTATATTAAGGAACCATTTGGAATGAGCATTTTGGTTATTTTCATTTTGTTTCCATTCCAGCTACAACACTAAAAGAACACTTTATTTTGCTACTCCTAGCACAACAATATTTACATCACTTGTCCTGTGCAGACATCGTGAGGCAAAAATTTACAACTTCTGCACACTTCCAAGGTTATACTGGGAAGTATGGTGCAAATTACTAATTTGATCTGTTTCTGAACACTGAAAACTTATCTGGTGAAATTTACACTTGAATTATTATCATGAGAAAACTGAGTATTTCTGAAGAAACAGTTCTTTTTTTGAAATACAGGTTTGTTGCACAATCTCTATGTTGTGTTCTTTTTCCTTTTGCAGATATGTCTTTCTTGAAGCAAATTGTATGTTCATCATATTTGCTCCAGTAAAGTACAGATCTTCATCTATGTTAGCAAAAAATTTGCACAGCCCTTTAGATGTTTTCCCACATTTTCTGTAACAATTCTCTTGAAACCTCCCTGATTTCACCATTTAAAGAAAACCACCACCCAACCATCATGCCATAGCCCTTTCTATCTCTTCTGTTTATCTTTAATTTGCTTGAAGCTAGTCAGACATCTTTGCTGCAATAATTTTTCATTTGTTTTAAAAATAATTTTGAATTTTTTTTCTTTCCAAACTGAAGTGGAGCAAATGCTAGAATCCAAATGGTTCATTTTACTCTAAGTTTTGATCTCATCATGCTCTTGTTTCCTTGCATCTGTGGACTGAAATTATTTGTCATTCTGTCATTGTGCAACACTGACAGAAATGCAAACAGAAAGGCTTGCATTAGTAGCTATGTATCACACCAACATTTCAGGAGACAGGTTACCTTTTTTGCTGCCTGTTCTTCTTCTACACCATCCCCAATTACAACATATACTACTTTTCTGCCAAACCTTTGCATTATTCGTTCAAAGCAACTTTCTTTTCCTGGAAGATAAATGAGATAAGAGTTCAGAGTGAAGTTACCTGATTAGCTGCATGTTCTTCATCTCGGCCATCTCCAATCACAACATAAGTTATGTTAGTGCCAAATCTGGACACTATACGCTCAAAACAGCTCTCTTTGCCTGAAAAACAATGCACTACTTATTCAAGCTATCAAGTGAGTTATGGTGAAGCCCTACAAAGGATTATTGCAGTGGTAAGACATTGTTGCTACTCCTTTTTAAAAGTTCCCAGCCTTGGGATTTAGAGCCAAAACTGGTGAGAAGCAATTAATTCCCTTAGTGACACTAAGCTATTCAGGTAAAACTAAATGTCTTTCTTAAGAGTTACAGGAAAGCCACTAAGATAAAGGAATTAGCAGCAGTGCAAAAATGAATAGGTCAGTGAATGAATAATTGAATTTAAATATTTCCCTAGTATTGTAGCAATATTTTTTCAAGGAAAGCAAAAATTTTAATTCTAATGTATCTGCAACAATGAGTGATGTAGCAATGGAAAAAGTGTTCAAAGAACAACGGACAAGCAAGATAGAATCAGTTCCTGGGAGAAATTCCGTGAAGCATTTGGGTTTTTTTGAGAAATGTGGAAGCAAGCACGCTAAGCCAGTAACAACAATAAACAGAATTGAAAGGGACCAAGCAAAGACATCTACTGATTTTCTCATTGTACTGGAGGTTCAGTTTTACCAACAAATGTTTGTGCTATCAATCCTAAAACTGTCCTAATATGATGATTTCACTGTTTCCACAGGTGATCTCCATATTTAATTAGCCCTTTCCATTAGGAAGTTTCCCTTTGACATGCGACCTACACATGCCCTATTGCAAAGAAATCATCGCCTATTGTCATACCTCCCATCAACGTAGAGAAAGATTATTTCTCTCCTCCCTGCGATAGCTTTTTACCCTGTTTGTTATTATGTCTATCCCTGCCCCAGGTTTTTCAGTCTCTTCTCACAAGCTCATGATTTCTAGATCTCCGATTCTTACTGCTCTCCTCTTGCTTTTTTTCAGCTGGCCCACAAAAAAGAGCTTATGATTAGGAAAAGCATTGTGTGTATTAACTGTTGAGTGAGGACCAGATTTCAGTGTGTGCAAGCAACAGCTGCAATTATAGTCCTGTGTTCAGCACAGCGCAGAGATCACTGAGATGAAAAGTAGAGAGAGATCTTGTACCCAACAGAGTTTTCTGTGCTCCTTACAGGGGTCTAACAGCGGCCACACCGTTCCTAGAAGGAATTCCTGGTGCAGAATTACTTCGACAGAGCCTCCAGAGACTGCTTCACTTCACCACCCCTTTCTGTGCTGTCGACACTATTTCTTAATGATCCTTCCTTTGGTCCGAGTGCAATCTCAGTGATTGAATCCAACTTGTACAGGCTGTGTGACAGATGACATTCATTCCAGAGGCTGCTCAGTACCATGTGGTATTTGGGATACTTCATGCCTTGACTTAAGTTTTTAAAGTTTTTGAGACATTTCTGTCCAGAGGACAGCTACAGCTAATTAAAGGATGACTGAGGTAATAGTTTTTCCTGACACTGTTAGAATATGCATTGTTTTTTCACTTGTGAAAATCATTTAGGAAATATATTGTAATGCTTTTGTCAACAAAGTGTCACACTCCATGTTATGTAAGGCATCATAGGTATAGAAATTAAGCATTCTTGAATTAATAATTGGTAAATCACAAAAGCTGCCAAAATTATCAGTCATTGTAGGCTGTGTCACATTTCACAGGAATGATAACTTTTCTTGGTTTACAAGAAAATTTTGGATGCAATTTCTGAAAACCATAAATTTCCAAACTGTAATACACAAGAGGTACAAAGTTATCAACAGAATAGGGAAGTGCTCTTGTGGCATCCATCAACACAGCTTCTGTTGGTAACAGTTGTCATTACCATCACTGATGTACTATGCTTCCAGAAAAAGCTTGTGAAGGGATGGCCTAGCTTACATAGAGCTTACATAGAGCTGAAGATCAGAGCAGAGACTATTTTAACAGAAGTTCTGCTTAGATTTGAATACAAAACCCACTTTTATTCATTCTTTTCTACACATTTTCTGTTTTCTGCACCATACTTAGGAGTTTCTGAGGCTTTTAATCAGTATGGGGACCTTTATTCCTTTAGGCATCATTGAAAATAAGCTGAATTTGGAATTTATCGACATAAACACATCTGAACATATGCAATGCCTAAATCTTATAACTAACACTGTAAGTGTCAGGGAAGTGGCTTGGAATCCATCCATTACTGGCAAAAAAATATTGGTATGCAGTGTAGTCAGAATGGATGAAAGAGTAATTTTCTTACCTATTTTGGTTGCACTGTAAATATTTTCAATAGGAAAAGCTCCTCCTAAGCTGTATAGCAGAACTTTTGCAAGTGCTGGGATAAGCTGGGTTGTTGTTACCAACACGTTTACACAGTTACTCCTAAAATGAGAGAAATAGTTTCAGTTTAAATAGTTTAAAACCATTACCCAAATGCTGATGAGGTGAACCAGCTGTGGAAAGCATATTCAGGATTCCTCAACATTTACTTTCACTCAGACAGCAGTGCTGCTCGGCACCATCACTTCCAGAAAAATGTACATAAAACTTCTGGCAATATCCTTTAAAAAAATACGCAGGCCTGATTTGTAGGAAATATTTCACACTGGTTTATAAAAAACAGGTCCTTGAAGACGGGTCCACTAAAATACAGACATTTAAGATCACCAACTATGTCTGAAAATAGGCATTCAAATGCTTTGAAAGCATTATTTTCATGCTGGCAATTAATTAGTAGCTACCAGCCAAATAAAAGAGTTAGGAGAATGTGAAAACATCATTTGTTACTCCTGTCTTGGGGGAAAATAAACAGCCAATATACATTTCTGCACAATGACATCACTTTCTTCATGTTTTAAGAGTAAGAATATTTCTGAGAAGAGGGAGAGATAAGAATAATCATGTTAATAAGCTAGCATCGAATGGTGAGGATGAAGACTTGAATGGAGAAGTTGTGCTAGCAGTTACACAACAGAAGACTCACAGCCAGGCTACTTTAGGCACTGACAGGCTGGAACATGAGCGTGACCATGGTGTGAACATGGAGCTGAGAGTAAATAGTTGTGATTTTTCCTCCTGGTTCTTCCACAAACTCCAAGCAAGACCTTAGGCTACTATTTCTGCCTTCATGTATCTCAATTTCCTGTCAGTAACATATAGGTAATGTTTAGCTGCCTCACGGGTAGCTTCTGAAGATTTATAGCTGTACAGTTCTTTGAAGACAAGACAAAAGACTTATTTAACAGTCCTGAGTAACTGATAACAGTTTTCCAGACTCATCCACCAATGCTCAACTGGCCTTCATTACCAAGTGTCTTTTTGAAGACTAGCAATTCGGAAAGAAATGCAGAGCTAAACACAATGACTTACACAAATTTTTTACTTTTTTTCTCTCGAGCTGCTTAAGATACTGTTAAATAAACAACAATTAAGAGATAAACATATTGCAAAAATTGTGACGTTTAAAATAAGTTTTTCACATCTTTCCAAGTTTGCTCCTTCCACTTGACACTGAGTCTTTTCCCAGACATGTTCAGAAGGCAAGATAGCTTACCATTGGCTTTTTTTTTTGGTTTAAAACCAGGATTTTTGAGGATTTCTGATGCAGTACATATTGCATGGCTGACTAAGCAGCAGCAGTGTTCACAGTTTTATTGTTTCAAAGGAACAATTTATTTTATGTCTCATTACTGGGAACCCAGACTTTTAACTCAGTTTAAACAGATTTTTGCTCTTCTGAAAACTTAGCTATATGCTTAAGCATACTGATTTGTCTGGAAGGACAGAAGGAAAATGATTTTGTGTTCTGGGATCTATACAGTATTTAGGTAGCACTGTGAATAGGCACAAACATTGAAGCACAGAACAGAGAGACGGGGAGTTCAGAAGATGCTGCCGGAAGATAATAAATTAAAGGCTGGCTCTGAATTCTACAATACCCTTTCAATGTACTCAGGGACATTTATCACATTTTAGAAGACACTTCCTACTATCTTTAGTAAATGCTGCAGTCACTGAAAATGAAATCACTTTCCATGGAATTTTTCCTATGTTGTATTCAAAAGTTGTATTAGACCTGTTCTGTTCTTTAAAGGCACTAATTTATCGTAACCTAAAATGTCAAAAAATAGCCAATACAAGTCCAAAACTAGAAAATTTTTACAGTAGACTCAAATACATACCTTGTGCTGATAATTGATAATGATTTAAGTGCATTTGTTAGCCAGGAGTCTGTCAGAGCTTCAATCTCTGCTCTTAATTGCAACCACGCATCTCTTTTAGCGGGACCCAGGAGTCCTTTTATGTAAAAAAGCAAGAAAAGAAAAAAAAAAACCAAATTAAATTCTGTATTAGCTGGAGAGTATAGATTTTATGGTCATTGTTTTTATTTTCAATTCCACTAGAACTTGAAAAAACATCAAAGAGAAAATCTATTGTCTTCAAGGCTCAGTAAATTGCTCTTTTTTATTTGCACTCCACTATATCAAGCAATGTCAGAGAGTATTGCAGATCCTCATAATTAGTCGTCTGATTTTTTTTCGTCTATTCAGACTACTTTACTACGTTTCAAAGTACACCCTTCAGAAATACACATTTTTTAAACCAACTCCTCACATACATCTTACTCTCTAATTATCAAAGGCAGTGACAAGGAGATCCATGCCATAGAGATGATAGGCAGAGACACTCATAAAAGAAGAGATTTTAGAATAAACTTGCCTTTGCAGTATCTGCATATGTTTAAAACTGCCCTTCTTATGACTCTGTATATAAGTGAACATCAGGTTACACATATGGAAATACATTTGTTTGCCGATGGCTTGCTCTTCATGTCCTGTAGTAGTTAGTAATGATAGCTCCTTTTATAGCATTTACAGCTGTACATCTTATGTTCTCATATCTCAGTTAATCCTTAAAAGCACCTTAAAATCTCCTTTTGGAGATCTGACCATGTGAAGGTCAGATTTTTAAAAGTAACCAGCCTATTCAATGTTGAGACATGAGTTCTTTGAATCCAAGCTATTTTAAGTTTAGATTTGGTCCTGGAAGAGCAGGGAAGCAGGTTTCATGACCTTTAGTACCCCTCCTCTCTTTCACACCCTATGTTCCCAAGAAGTGGTGATGAGTGTCTTAAGAAACCTGAAATGAAGCAACCTAAAAATACCTAGTTTGATCTAGCCTTCTGTTGCCTTCTAACAGCTATTTTGAAATAAATAGACACATATGTGATAAAAAGATTATTAAAAAAGCTAAGAAGTAGAGGATGAATGAAGGAACTTGCCCACTAAGGATGGAATATATTTCAGAAGCAGGATTTGTGGGAGAGAATAAAAACCTTAATACGATGCACCACATATCTGCACTCTGCCTTTGCAATAATTGTTCCTCTTAGTGTGTTTCCCTATGCTGTGCTCTTAGACTTAAGCTCTTACTAATGTTAAAGGTTTTATGAAATGCAACAGCTTTAGAATCTTAGATGCCTTAGGAGATGTAAGAAAACCCAGTAAATGTTTGGATAATACTGTTTCCAGTATTCTTAAGGTATAAAAACTCCATTCATGACACCAATGAAGGGCAAGGCAGGGCAAGTGAAAGCCAATCATTTACTATCAGCTTTTGCTCCTATTGCTTCATCCTGTGGCAAGGAAAGACTTTGAGCTTCTAAGAGGAAAGATATATTTCAGGTTTACATAGTTTAGGAAATGATTAAGGTAATGACTAATTCACTGTCCATATTAGTAGTACTGTTTCCCATTTTTGAAAGACTGCAGGAAGGGAACACCAAACTGTCTGGTTTTGCTGAAGGTGAGCTTTACTTGAGTTTCAGTTTTTGGTGAGTTTCAGGTTCCTTTGAAATAAATTTCAGATGAGTTGAAAAAGCCCATGCTATAGAATGGGAGAGTGTTCACTTGGACTCCTTCCTGGTTGGGTTATCCTCATCCTCAACTGTGGCTGTTAGCAACACTTGAAGACTTCTAAGTATTCCCTGTTCTCGCAGGCTCTTCTTGAGTGAGCCAGTTGACATACTCCCCTCCTCAGAAGAGGGCTGGCTGCCTCTGCAAGTCACACAGGACTTTCCAGGACAGATTCTTTCAGTTCTGCTGCTTGATTTTCTACAAGCCTGCTGGCACGGACATGAGTGAGTCCATGAATGAAAACAGTAACAGGAAAGCTCTCAGTCCAAACGAGACTCAGATTTCTTGCAACACGATTAACTGAGTAAGCTACAGAGTCAACAAAAGGGGCTAGTGGTATGGCAGTGCTAGAGTTTTCTTGCACCCACCAGTGAAAATAGACTAGCAGTTACCCAGCAGAGAATTTAGCAGACAGTATGTTGTTACCAACTAGATCATGAAAATGTAGGATGGAATAGGCCAGCCACAACCAGTTTGTGCTGTGGAAACCATACAACCTCTTTCCTAGAGTAACAGCATATTTGAGGTAGAGTAAGTGGCTCAACCAATTGGGAGCTGGGACTGAAGGAGGAAAATGGGCTCTGTGGAAGCTAAATGAAGCCTGCTCCGTTTCCCCATCTCTGGTTCTCCTGCACAACAGCACAATGTTGGCTCTGCCATTACAGTCAGTAGCTTTCAATAGCCCAAGGTCCAGTCACATCACTTTCCATCCACTCTGTGGCTTCCAAGGCACATTCCCTCGGGCGGGAGTCCATCGCCATGCAGTTTAACCTGTTCAGCATTCTAAATTGGTTTTGACAATTAAACTCACCTCCTATGTTGTTCTTGTAAGTATTATACAACTCTTTTACTCTTCTGTAACGGAAAGCCAGCTTCCTCATCCAGTCAACCCCTCCTCTTACACCTGTTGGCAGACAAAGGTTTGCACTACTTGCAGCTGCATGGAAGCCATCAGTTGCAAAACTGTAGGTACTGCAAACACCCAAAATACAGTAAAAATAAATACAATGTATTCCTGTAAATGCTCAATTTATTTAATCTTTGAATAAAAAAAAAAAGAAACGAATGCTCTATCTTACCTTAGGTCTTGTCCATTATCATCAGAAGAAACATCATCTATATGAACTTGATCACACTCCTGTTGAAGGAAAAAAAAAAAGATAAATTATCTGATAAGAGAGTATGCTCTCCATAAGCTTAGTACAGATGTTGAAGAAATGATCGGTGCAGGCCACTAAGTGCACCAGAAGATGGCAGCATATGTACACTTACAGCTTCCTATTACCACCAATTTCTTTAAAATAACACAACCTTCAACTCCTTCTACACTGTATAAATTATTAGTTAAAATAGGCCTTTAGAAAAGCGATATGTAATTTTAGTGTGATTTTAGATTAAAATTATTTTAATTGAAAAAACCCCAACAATTACAAGTCTCATTTATAGTCTCTCTAGCATACCAATATTCCAAAATCACCTAAACCTTATTTCTCCACTTCCTAAAAGCTAATGATGATGAATCTTCACAGGCATGTAATTTCTCTTAAGTCTCTAGGAGTTTGGATGCTTATCAGATTCTTTTCTTGATTTATCCAAATGGCTTTGGCTGGAAAATCACAGATAATCAAGCAGTCCTGGAGAATTTCATTATTTCGTGGTTTCGGAAGGGATGGAAGTAACTCCAGGGAACCAAGGTACCCTGGAAAACAGAACTCATCTCCAAGCTGGTTTTATAATTGGATAGCTATCAAATATCCCTTTCTGCACAGTGGTTATGGCAGAAAGATAGGAAAATGTGGGGAAAGCACAAATAAATAAATAATTCAAGCCACCATGCAACAGTAAATATGAACAGGCATCGTATAACTGTTTTCTGTAGTTACTAGAATTAACATCTTAACCCAAAGACACACCTGAAATTCAGCGTCCAGAGATTTTACTTTCCTGTATGTAAGTAATTTTTTAATATCTAAAATAGCTATGTTAACATAATCCTAATATAATTTATGAAAAAGTTGAAGGACGTATTTAAAAATTACTCCCCAACTAATGTTTTCAGATAATTTAATCTCATCACTAAGACAAAATGAGGCTGAGCTTTCAAAATGCACAGCTCTGTGCCTAAAATAAAAAGTCGTCTGAGTCATCTACTTCAAATAAAGTTGCTGACAAGCAGCACTTAATTCAGACCCTCTGTGACATGCAGGAGTACACAGTTCTAAGTTTCCAATCTGTCTCGTATCAGTGCTACATTGTCCAGATAAAGGATAAATCTGAACAGGGGAGTGATTTTCAAATGTGTATGCCACAAGTTCCTACTGTGAATTCCGGGAATTACCATTTCTTCTTTCTGTTTTGTTTGCTTTGCACTGAATGAAAACTTAACAGACTTCTACCCACATGAAGTAAGTTGCTAAAAAAAAAAATTAGCAACTTTTGTATAAAATAAATACATATAATTTTATTTTCAAATACATAATTTCATTGCATCGTACAAGCAATCATAATCTAAAATTTTCTGTCAAGACTAAAAGAATGAGTGGCCAAACTCTGCTCATCTGGCTTAATCCATTAAGACAGGCTTGAAAGAGCTGCATTCAAGGAACAGAAATGAAGCACTCTTCTCCCCACTGTAGAAATAAAATTTTTTTAGGAGATTATCTTGAGCTGTAGAATATTTTAAAGAAGCTGCTTTTGGATGTAAATAGCAGATGAAAAGAGAAAGAAAAGGGGAAGTAGCAGCTGAAATAAAAGATTCATTTCTTTATCCTTATTTATTATTTACACTCCAGAAAAAAAATGCAACTATACTGCACCCAGTGTAAGACAGGAACTTAAAAATCAGACAAAAAGCCCCACTGGGACAAATTCTAACTCTGTATTTTGCAATATCTGAGTAATATATGGCTTCCTAATCACCTTCACAGATCTCCCTGGAACTGGTCAAAGCGTAAGATAATTTAAAATGTTTAAAAATTAGTCCTGTGGATTTGAAGGTGTACTAATTAAATGGAGAGCACACAGAAGCCCTGATGGATAAGAAGGAGTGTCTGCTCCTGTTTGGGTTTTGTTAAGCCTTTCAGCCACATTGTTCCAGCCTTGAAAATTCCAGATAACTGTTCTGGAGGTAATTTCATTATTAAGTTAAATATGAGTGGGTGGCAAAGGCTGAGCTGTTTACTTTTAGTTTTTTATCTCACAGTTTGTTCATTGACTCCAGGAACAGGAGATGAGGGGAACATGCAGTTTTCTGATTCCTTCCCCCTTGACCCTGCAAGAAGGTTCTTAAGTTTCCAGCCACATAGAGGATCAAACCCAAGAACACTCTCCAGCCTCCTCGTTTTCCTCCTTCCTCGTCTCCTCTCAGATCTATGGCTCACCTCCTCACCATACTGGCAATACACATTTGCTGACCAACAACAAACTCATGTGCCCACCGCTCCTTGCTTCGTTTTACTTTGTTTTCTCGTTTACTTATCTACTTCAACTAAAATGTTTACATTTTACAAATTCACTTACATGGTGTGAAAAAACTTTCCAGAAAAAAAGAAAAACCAGGCAGTTTGAGCAGATTTGAGATAGTTCTCTACTTTTCCCAAAAGAAACAGGAAACTGGTGGCACAACACTAAGTCTGAGTTTGCTTGTAAAAGAGACCAAACAGTTGCAGGGAGGAAGGAAAGCAAGCAAGCTGTCTGTCACTTTAAATGTTAAGGTAAAATACTTTTCACATCAGCTACAGTACTGGCTACACTCAAGTTACAGTGGCTCACTGTCAGTACAAGGTCAAAACTAAGAAAGATAAAATATATTTCCTATTACTGAGAGTACAGGAAAGTAATCTAGGTACAATAACTGGCTTTTGCTTGAAGCAATACTAATTTAAATTATATCTGAGTGCAGTCAATTCTTTGCAGCAATTTTTAAAGCCTGAAAATTTGAGAGTACAGAATCAACAAATCATCCATAAAAATTATCCTCCTGGAATGGACAGTAATTTCATTATCCAGTAAAAACACTGACTCGCCACGCTGAACACAAAAATGTTATTGCTGAGAGGATATTCAGCACTATGCTTTCTCAGGCTATACAGAACACCCCTTTTTACGTATATGCTTCAGTCTCTCTTAAAACTAGTTTGACCTGCCTCCCAAATTCTGAGACTTACCTAAATCCTATTTTTTATTTCTCATTTCCATTTCTAATGAGAAAAAAACAATGACAAAATCTTATTTAAATTATGGTAGGATTATCACAAAAATGGAAATGTAATTCAGTTTGTTTGAAATAAATACTCTTTTTTCTTCATCATCGTGAGAGTGGAGGGGGATAATGGAGTTGGAAGATTCATGTCCAAATTCCTGCTTGCAATTTGTAGAAATTGGGGTTTTTTGCATGCATAGTATGCCCTACCAACATTTCTAAAAGCTGTCTTAAAATCAATACGGAGATAGGGAGAAAAACTTAATTTCATTCCTTACTGGTTGAGAACAGAATGCATTAGTCTGGATATTATTACAGAACTGAGTCCCATCTCTGAGCATTGTTTAGGCACATGAACTTTCTAGCGCACCAGACTCCTATTTTCATGGCAAAACACCAACTGCCCTCCCAAGCGATATTTCTCAAGCTAACTAAAATTTATACACTGAGAGTGAAATAGCTGGAGAACAGCCTAGCCTGAAATAAAAGTGCAGCTTGGCTGATTAGAACATCGGTTACTGGGTCAGCGGGGAATGTCTCAGCAGATCGGAATTTCTGCATCAGCAGTCATTGTAGTGAGACAGATTTGCATAGAGGAAGGAAAACTTTATTTTTGTATGTGATAGCTTTCAATAACTTGGTTATTATTACTAGACCTTGGTATGCGGTGTTTGCAACCAAGAAAGACAGGGAAAAAAGAGACCTTAGAGGATATAGTGACTGGAGTCAATATTATAGGAATATAGGTTCACTAGTACATTACAGTTGTCATGTCCGGAGCCACGAGGTTTATTGTGGGATGAAGATGAAAGCAAGACAGAAGGTATGGGACCTGATGGCTCAGCATTAAAAAAGTGAGATGATGAAAGGGTGAGTAATCTATCTAGTGAATAAAGGCCTATCTCACTTCCTCCAGTAAGAACTGAAGGTCTTGTGTCTTGATAGCCATGACAATCAACAGCTCAGCACTCACCTCCCCTCTCCTGGGGGAGGACAGAGAAAGAGAGATGGAGAGGGGGAGAGATGAGAGAGAGGCCCCAAGTCAGAATTGGGGAATTCTCAGAATTCATTACACATTCATTATGCAGATGCACTGTAATATTCAGCGCTGGTCATGTGCTCTGCAAACATATATAAACAGACAGATTTATTCATCTGCATATTAAAGGATCCCTCTATGTACTTTGTCACAGGGTGCCATGCAATTATATCTTAGTCACTAAGAAGACAGAAAATTTTTGGTCTTCCTCAATATGCCAGAATGTGTGCATACAGCTCATTTCAGAACAAGAAGTTTTGAATTTTGGTAATCTTATAAGAGATTATAAGATTGTAAGAAACAAAGATGAATTCTGGGCTAGAAAATACTTAATTGCATATAGAAATTGGTTTTAATCAAATCAAATTGATTGAGTTATGAGATTCTCCAAGAGAGTCCCCAAGTAGTATTTTTTGATTTATCTAAAACTGAAAAGTGTTTGGATACTGTTCAAACTCTGGAATGAGCTGGACTATGAATTTTTGGGCAGGATATTAAAACCACCCTATGAAGAATATACAAAATGTGATGATCCACCTATGGCAGCTGAACCTGAGATCGACAAAGAAAATAAATAATGAAAGAAAGGAATGAAGCTTCAATGGCCATAAGCAAGAATAAAGAGGTATGGAAAGTGGGCAAAGCTCCATTTTGCTGAACTCTTCCACTTGAACTCAGCACAAGACCGAAGAACTCTGGGCATATGCTACTGAATGGCTTAAAGTTCATTGGGTGCCCCATGAAATCTGAACACGCAGGGGTAAAGGTCTGCTAAAAAGAAATGTAAGCAATGCTTTGAAAAATTCATTTGGAATCTATCGCTGGTACGGGGCACCAGAAGGAGAACATTCACCGAATGCACTTGCATTGTCAAGCGATTACTCACTAGGACTGTGATAAAACACTGACTGGTGAAGGCATGTTCAGGGCTTTACTTTCTTATGTTTCTGCTGCTGGAAGGAGGAAGTGCAGCTCAGTTATAGGGTGAAGTAGATCCCCGTTTCTTGACTTAAAAAGAGCTAAGAATAAATGAGGTCTGCAAGGGACGACAAAGACAACTGCAGCCTGGTACCTTCTGCTTTTCTTATTGCCTACAGTCGACAAAGGAACAAAAGAAGTGCACACTAAAAAAATCAACATCCCAGTGAATGGAAAAATCTCACTTATCCTCATTTTTTCTGTTCACTCACCAGAGACCTTTTTGTGGCATTTTAAACAAAACCTCGAAGTCTTCCAGCTGCCATTAGTGGCAAAATAGCTGTCCACAGAAGGAACTCTGGGTTACACTCTGAGTACAGAACACAACTGATTTAGACTTGGGGAAGGTCTGTAAGGCCCATAGCTTAATTTAAGAACGGTTTTTCACCCCGTCTCTTGACACACATGGTTGTAAGACTGTCACTTTCCATGTTAACAGATCCAGACTCCCAGAGAGAAATGAAAAGTCTGTGAAGCCCAACTGATGGGCCTGCTTCCCAGACCACTGTCCCTGCAGCAGTCCATCTATGTGTTTCTGACAGGTGAGCGGTCCACAGTGGTCATCCCCTAGGAAAAGGTCTCTTCCTTTTCTGACCGGATGCCAAATTGCACACCCTGGGTACATCGTGACAAAACATGTGGTCGCCTGGTTACCTCGGGAAGAGACATCACTGATGAGTACATCTATCATAGTCCCAGCTCTCTGATGCTGTGGTCTTTGAGGTAGATGAAGAATATTCTACCTTTGAGCAAGAAAGCGGGGCCTGTGGCCAAAAGGCTACTCAGGTATGTGAAGAGAAGAACACAGTCTCTTGTGGTCAGATGATGGCACCCATTGAAAGCAAATACAGAGAACTTCAAGAGAAAGAATGGGAGGCACATATGTCCCCCTCCTGGAAATGACTGCAGACAGCTCTAAATCCATGGAAACTGAAAAGATGGCCATAGGACAAAGAAAGTACAGGGTAGTTTGCAGATTCCCTCTTTCACCCAGTTTCATGGAAGGACTCTGGTGCCACAGGAAGTCACTGCCACCTGGCTAACCTCTCTCTGATTAGAGTATGAGAAACCCAAAGTCTAGATAGGCAGAAAATGTCACACACAACAAACACTAATGCATAGCAAAACCACTATGTTAAAAACCCAGGCGTAATGGCGTTTATGTTCCTTTGATTCTTACCTCTAAATCATTAAAAAACAAATGTGTGTCAGCAAGATTAAAAATCATTTCTTCCATTCGCAGTCCAAGGGTCACTGCCATTGGTGGATCCTTGAAAAACAGAAAGCAAGGTTAAGTACTTAAATACCTTTAAGTTATATCAGAATTACTTTAAAAGCTGCTATATAGAAAGTGTTTTGAAAAATTAACACTGCAAAAAATTTCTCTAAAATCCTTCCAGTATTAAGCTATTTTAATATAATGCTACAAGAAGAGACTGCTGAACTTCTGTGGAACGTTTGGGGAGCTGGGGATGTTGAAACATCAAGGTCTTTGAAAGTCAAGGCATTTGTAACCTGGCTAAACTGACAGGGGAAAACCTGGTGGCCATATGTAAACCTGCATAAAGAAGGCTGTAAACAGGGAAGGAACTTCTCACAAAAGATATATGTAAGAAAACCAGTATTTATTATAATAAGGATACACAACATTTTTCATCCCTGAGCCTTTTATAAAAATATGTATCTTGACTGTCAATTTGTGGGCAGAAAAAAGCTGAGTCATGGAGCAGTAACTAATTTTTCTGACCCGATGCATTGAGTCAGCAGCAGAGGTAGGAACGAAATTACTCCATGTGACACCCAGTCCACTGCACAATTCCTCTCATCTCTTGGCTGTTCTTCCCAACTTTTGGGCACACAGAAGTTCTCACCAAGGTCATGCTAAACCGAACTAAGAAAGGTAGTCATCTCTGCCAAATGATTACTTTGTAAGCAATTATCCTACACTGTGATAGGAAGGTATGATTTAAGAGGCCTTTTCAATTTCCAATGTCTCTGCTTTATAAAAATACAAAAGGTAGGCTGAACCTATACCGTCTTCCCCAAATTGAGTTTCACTTTGGATAAATCATCACTGCCTTGCCTATGCTTAGGCCTATATCACTTATTTCCCACACTTTCTGCTGCTCCAGTACGTATCCTCAAACGCTGCGCTTGGTCCTTCTCTGTCTCAATATTTAACCTTCTTCCTTGCAGGCTCTCACTGATGGATTTCCAGGCTCTCCTTTATGATTTTATTTCAGGTATTCATTCAACAAAGTGCCTGTAAGTGATCTTCTAAGTGTTCTTCAGTACCCCTACAACCTATGGCACAATTCTTTAGGTGGTTCATAGGAATGGGAAAGCATATGTAAGTTCGTTTGTTTGCTACAGATCATCCCTTCATTTCTGATGAAATACAGGATTCCCGTCCCTGGATGAGATTCATTCAAAATGTTGCATCTGTTCGTAGGTCAGCTTTCACACTATCAAATCACTCTACCTCAGCAAGATACCACAGATCTACTGATCTGTAACAACAGTTTGCCTGAGAACATTTAGCATTCAGTAAATGTGAGATAATTAATTTAACTTTGCTAGGCTTGCTAGGAAAGAGGTTAAGCCAATTTGCATTACCTTACATTTGTTTTAGAATACGAATGCACACGGACAGTTCCTGATGCTTAGCTGACACCTGGTAACTAGTTTTATCATTGCCTTGATCATCTGCCTGAGTTTGTGGGTTCAGTTAACTTTTTTATGCTTAACGTACTGCAACGGACTTTTAAAATAGATGCGATCCTCTCCTCATTAAAATAAGAAAAAAATCTGTATTTCATCATTATTTAAACTCTGATTGACACTAGCAAGTTTTCAGAAATCCTTTCTTAAATACCTTGAGATTAAAAGTCTAAAAGTTTACCAGCATCTGGCAACAAAATCACACAAAACCTCATATGATCATTTGTTAGTATTAGGATCAAAGGCTTCCCAATCAGGATCAGACGTCCGCTACTCCAGGGCTTCGCAACGACAGAATAAAAGATGGCTTCTGCCCTCAAGCACTTAAAAACTAATGGTAAAATCTGAAACATAGACATATTTTGACCCTTGCTCATGAAAAAGTCAGACTTGAAGGGGAGAATAACGTACAAGAAATTGTAATGATCCAAAGTTAGACCCAATTCTCTGGCAGTGAAAGGAAATATTTTTCTGTTGACCCTTGACCTGGTCTAGACTACCTTTCAGAAGTAAAAACCAAATGCAGTGCTTTAGTAACATAACTTCATCCCCTACATCTTCTGCAGCCATGTTCACTGGATCTGAAAGTCACATGGCTGAAGGCAGCAGTAAGTGCAAAGGTCAGTTTTCCAAGGGAATGATTAAGGAACACACGTTAACAGATTTGCAAAAACTCATGTAAGATACTTAGAACACAAATCATCAAAATACTCTGGACTCATGAGATTCCTCATCAAGCCATAATGCTTTTATCAAAATGTCATCACATATAAACATTTGTTTCTCTCTCCTTTCTCTAGCGTTTTTTTCTGTGCACAGTAAATTATAAATTTTTCTTCCTAGATACAATATAATAAAGAGTATTTGCAATATGCTGCTTTACCTCAATCCTATGAACACTAAGGCATGTGCATAACTTTATGCACAGGTGGTAACTCATTATTATTTATGTGAGTTAAGTTATTCACTGGAATGCTTCCAAGACTGGAATCTCAGACTTTTGATTCTCAGACTCTTTCTTCCCTTTCCTGGGTAGAAGCAGACTTAAATGCGGAAATTTGCTATAACATATTCCATTATAATCCAATTTATTTTTACAGAAACTACCAACTACGTATCACAATTTCCTGCCTTGCCTAGTATAGTTGAAAGATGTAAATGTGACAAAGCTTTTATGATTTTCTTATTAGTAGTATTTTTGTAACCAACCATGCCTGACTTTATTACTGTTAAAATGAGATTTCCTATGTTCCTGTTTTGACAAAGGCATGTGTAGGATATTGCTAGGTACTATACGTAAAATAAAATAAAGCAAAGAGAATTCATTTCAGCTTAGCATGAAATCAGTCTGGGATTTCCCCGCTACAACTTCTGCTAAGAAGAGTCACTGGAATTGAATTCTCAAGACATGAACAATTCTTCCTTTAATAAATTGGCCAAAACTTGCACTGCAACTGTTTAACAAGAATTAAACATCACGTTCCAGCTCTTCCCATGTTAAGTTCATTCCTTCACATACAAAAATAGACAGAGAAAGCAAATTTGTCAGGGTCTTGTGGTTTTATAATGTTTGCACAATGTGGAGGAACATCCCAATCATCGTTTTACTGTCTTTCAACTTGAAGCAGAAGTTGCAGGCTGACTCAAGTGGCACAAAGAACTGAGTGTTGAAAAGAAAGCAAGAAACATGTGCAGCTGATACAGATTTGAGCACAGCAAATTGAGAAACTGAATAAAAGGCAGACTGAACTTCTGCCAAAATGGTATTTTGTGCTACTCTGCACAAGCATACACACAAGAGGAAACAATAATAAAAAAAAACCTGGAAGTTTTCCCCAGATAATTTGCAGAATAAAGAAGCACAATTCTTTGGCCCTCAGAGGCATGATTTTAGCCAGATATCATTAGCGTGCAAGAGTCAAGACCAGCTACAGCACTTCTATATACCAAAACACAAATTACTTTAGTTACGTTAGTATGAAGGCACTAAACTGGAGCCAGACTGTCTGTCTGTGGACTTCTGCACTAGACTGGTCCATCCACTGGAATGCCTCTTGGGAGACTAGGTAAAAATATCCTGGGAGGACCAATACTTAAATGTTTTGACCAAGAGGAAAGTGACTGGAATAAAGCCCCAAAAGCTCAGTGTCCATTAGTGGAAGAAAGCTATTTAATATTGTCTTGGAAGGTCAGGTTTCAGCACAAGACGTTCAACATAATTTAATTTCATGGAAAAAAATATAAACACACCAAACTCTTTTTTATAAAATCTCAGAAAACAAATAGATAAATAGACTGTCAGGCAGATTCATTGTGACAGGAATTTGTATGCATGAAGCCTTAAAAATAAGCAAGAAAACAAGCCAAATGTATGAATAATATTGTAAGAATAGATTTTCAATGGGTGGTTGACCTGAACAGACAACAAAGTGGAAATGCTTAATTTAAGTACCAATATTTTTAGCTTAAAGACACTTCCCTACATTATGTAGAAATCCCAGATTTAAGTTCAGCCCTCACTCTCTCATAGGGGACACTTGTTCCCAGGAGAGCTTCATGTGGGTGGCAATGGAGGAAGAGAATACATCTCTTCTTAATAACCGTATCTGGTGGCTGATGAGGGAAAACTCACGTACTCCATAGGGAGTTTCTGTCCCACGCTCTCTAGAAGGCGGTAGGAAAATGGACTCAGAGGTCTCAGACAACGAGGGAGTGAATGGAGAGGACAACTGGAGGTCATGAGAGATACACTATTAATACAGGCGGACAAAAGCGTATTTATGAGTGAATTTGGGAATGTCACCATGGGTGCTAATGGTGACAAAGTTTTTCTGCTTAATGACTGGACAAACAGAGAATGAGCAATAAAAAGCTTCTGAGCCCTTTCCAGAGAAGTGTACAAGGTTAATGTGGCCTCCCTGACAACTTTCTGTCATTGGCAATGCTATCAAAAATGTCCAAATGTGATCATCAGGTGTGGATTTGTTTTGGTTTTTGCACTTGGAAATCACATTCTCCCCCTTCTAAGGTCACAAGGGACTTTCACTCTTTTTTTAACCGATTGCACCTTGAGTCACAGCATTTATCTGGGCATCCTTGCCCTCTGGATTGACTTGAGAGAAATGAACGAAATACAAATGCTCGGAGGTAGACAAAACACCAGCTTAATCAGCCTCAAATCAGCAAGAATAACTGGAATGTAATGGAACAAAGAATATACACTGTTCACAGGGAATAAGAATGTACCTCATAAACTTTAACAGATGATGACATCTCCTAACACATGTCCTGTCACATCAACAAATCCTCACTTAAGAGCTTAGCATTGTAGAAAACTGTATCTGCCAACTGGTGCTCAGCTGCAAAAACCATCATCAGCCACACAAGTCACAATATAGCAGCTCAAATGCCAATGTTCATAATTTGCTACTGCAGTAAATCATTAAAAATAGAAATGTACTAGTTTTATGAAGTACGAAGCAGATGAGCAAATGAGCTGAACAATGAGAGGTACTCTTACTTCTGGGAAGCAGCACCGTCTCCCTGAAACCTAACAGAGGTGTAGTGTAGTTTTTATTCTCTTTTTGTGTTAGCTCTGACCAGCCCAATAAAGTAACTACTACACCAAAAGTCAGACAGAAACACCCACAGGTAGAAAACAGCAAGACATAGAATATTCCTCTGGATAAGTTTTATATTTTAAATATCAAGGTGATGCACTGACCAACCTCTGGCCAGATCTCTCCCCCTTCAGTGGAGTTTACAGCTATAATCTACTGGTGCCTAGATAAGAAGGAGCACTGTGCCCTGTGTTTCAAATGAGATGCTTACAGATGCATCCAACAAGCTAAATTTTTCACCTCATCACTAGTTTTGTTTTTAACATCTTTATTATAACTGCCCTATATAATTCTGAAATCAAATTAATATCATACCATGCAAAGTGCTGGACAAGTATATACCGAGGAGAGTGTCCATTCTCAACTTCAGAAATCCTCAGGCATAAGTCAGAAATCTGATGTTCTCTTGACAAATACATGACCTGAAACTTGACTACTGAATCCAGGCCTTCCCACATAATCTCTGCCAGTGCATGCCCCATTGCCTGATTTGCCTTTCCCTTTTCTCTTCTACTTCAACTGCTTGTTAAACTGTAGAAATCTTTTGAAAGAGAGACTGTTTGTCTCCTGGTACTACTGCAGCTCTCAAGTGTTCCTGCACACATACATTGGTCTCTCCACTGGCCATAACAGCGTGACGGCCACCTCCACATGCTGCACCTCCCCACACTGCGTTTCCTGCGCAGCCTGAATTGCAGCAGAGCAGAGAGATTAAAAGACTCATTTCTGAATGTTTTGTTTTCGCCCAGTTACTGCAAGAAATAGGGTGAAGAGCTAGCGGAAAAGGAGGATGAAATTTTACATGTCAAGGAGTAGATGGGAAAAAACTGAAGGTGAATATCCTTGCCTGTCTGTATATTCACACTAGCTCTAAATCCAGTATCTCACCCCTTGAAAGTATGAAGTGAGCATACTTGGAATAAGAAGATGCCTTCCCTTAAAGCAATGTTCATATTAAAGACTCACTAATCTCATTTAGAATACTTAAATATGGGGGAAGGGGAAAATTCTGCTTTCCTGTGAGATTTTTTTTTTTGTTTCTTTTGTAGTAACCTAAGTTACTGGGAGTAACCTGATTATGTTATACAAAATGGGCTCACAAAATACATATGGAAGACCATAGCATGCACAGTGAGCATCTGTGCAACATTACACGCCTTTATTTTTTAAAATCAGATAGCAAATCACCACAATTAAATAATTTAGCATCACCATTATTTTACACTACCCTGAAATTTTTTTCATTGTGAAGTAACAATTTTACACCACCTTTGCAGGATAAACAGTTCTCTCAACACCTTTGAAAGATCTATGTGCTCACAAGACTTCCACTGAGAACCTCACAATTCATGGACTATTTACTCTCATAGCAACCCAATTCTTCTAACAATCCAGACTCCAGTCTGGATTAAGACCTTGTTTACAGATGGAAATCATATGCAGAAAAGATAAGGGCCACAACTGCTAAACAGGTCATGCACCAGAGACTGACTGAGGTCCAGCTGTGCTATCTTTCCCTTCTGCCATGTCTAACCTCTTAGGCACTTAGGCTCGGACACATCCCATCTTAAGTTCAGGCAACAACTTCAACGACATGCAGAAGTTAAAGCCTACTCATGATAAGCTCTCCCTGTATTCGCTTTCCTACTGCTCTAGCCTTCTTGCAGTCAACAATATAGATATATTGAGTTTCGTTGGCAATTACTCATTACTTTCCCAATGAGTTCTCTATAAACATGGCAAAGGTAGTCACTGCAGGAAGGAAAAGGAAAAAGTCTACTACTTTTATTTTACAGTCTCTGGAAAGGAACACATTTCCCTACTTGTATGGATGCCACCTATCAGTACAAAAGAAAAAGGATTTTACTTAAGAATTCCTCTCCTTTTGCTTCATGGTTGCTCATGACATTTGTTTACTGATTCTGATCTCAGCAGTGTAACTACATTAATTTCACTTGCCCTTGAGATACTCTTGGTTTATACAAGCCAACTTTATCTGCTGTTAGTACTACTGGCTGTTAATACACCATTACTGTTTCTAAGGACTCTGTATGGAGAGTCAATTACAGCAGCAGATTGTGCTCTTAAAGAACAGTGGTACTGGGATTTTTTCAAATACCCCTACTCATAACAAAATGAGAAACCAAGAGGAATTACATTTCTGCTGTTGTCTCGAAGACAGTTTTCAAAGTTATTCACAGATATTTGTGAGCTACAAAATGTGCTCTGATTTTTAAAACTTTGTATTAAAGTTGACTTAGACTTTACTCATATATTATGTGAGACGGTGCATGAGATGTAAACATCCTAAGGGCACAATCAAAAAAGGATGAAAGGAATGACTGGGGCAATTCAGCAAGTTCTGTGGCAGTCTATGGGCTACACTCAAAAGTGATAAAAATGTTCATGTTCAGCTAGTTTCTCTCTTGTTTTGATAACTATAATTTAGAAATGGTCCTGACAGTCACTGTTGCTACAGTGTTTGAAAAACAGCAGAAGAGGAGTTTTTGACAGAACACTGAAATGTGCACTGATTTGGCACTGTGAAGCTGCAAAACAAGAAAGGCTGTTTTTTACAAGACATGAATCACTACCCTTATCTTAGCATTCCAAAAATTCAGATTTTTGTCTGGGCCTGTGAGTTTTCCCATTAGCTTTCTCTTTTAATAACCACAAACAGCTGTCTCAAAACATGGAGGACTGGCCCATCCGTGGTTATAATTCACAGATCTAGTTTTGGACATTTCTAACCCACTGGCTGCGGAGGTGTCTGTGGAAAGCATTTTTCTAATGCACTGTTTTTCACATCCTTTTCTTGAGCATCTGATTCTGGCTGGAATAAAGAGGCAGGAAACTTATGCTAAATGAGCCCTTTGTCTGACATAGTATGGACACAGTTATGTTCTTAAAAAGAATTACCTTTGTATTAATTACAATTGAATGGCACAACACCTAGAAAACCCACATCCACGTACGTACATACTAATATTCTCCCTGCCCATTTTCTTCCCTTCCATACATATGCCCTAATTTTTTGTTTTATCCAGGCCTTTAGCTCTACCCCTCCCAGCAATCTGCTCCTGCTGTGACGGACTGGTCTTCCCACCCATCCCTTCTCCCCTTGCCCAGGCACCCTTCCTGGGGCTCCCACCACCAGCCCAGCGGGGCTCGCTGCTGACTCGGCAGAGCAGCTCCCGCTCCTGCAGGCTGCGACTGCCTCTCTCTTCCTCCCTCGCTCTTCCTCCCACTCTCCTGCTCACTGCTCGGTGACCTGAACTGCTTTTGGATCTCATCGGAGGGGAGAGGATGAGTACAACTGTCTGCTTGGGAAAGGGATTCACTCCCCAGCATTACTCACCCCAGAGCCAGCCAAGGGAACCGAAGATTCAACGGAAAAGATGGGGAGTCAAAGAATAACATCTGCAGCTGGCATTGAAGCAGGTCTGTCTCTTACTTGCTCATTCTGATTTATCAATTTCTCCATAAATTCACCCATCGCTCCAGTTTATTTCTTATTTCTTCCACTACACATCCAAATAGTCAGTTATTTCCATTTGCCCATTACCTCTATTATCTCCCTGCAACGTCTCTTCCAATGTACCTCAGGAACTTACCCTTGTTCCTCTGTAAACTCTTCCCTCATTTGCAGCATCTGCTTCAGCCCTGCCTCATATATTGTGCATAGGGTTGTGTCTCATTTCTCTCCTTGACTTTCTCACAGCAACCCTCTGAAAATGGGGTTTACTGTACACTTTCCCTCTACTTTCACCCAAGCCATGATGAACAGGGAAGGTGAAAAACACGTACATGTGCAGGCCAGATCATTCTGATACAGTGAATCGATGCAGAATTCATGGCTCACATACCTTGCCATACTTCTGTGCATAGGATCCTGTGAGCAGCGAATGAAAAACTATGATTGTTTCATCCAAATCCCAAACAAATACACGCTGAAAAAAGAAGTGGGGACAGTATTATTAAACAAATAACATCAAAGTCCCACCACCATCCCACCCGGGGGGCTAACAGTCAACTCAGTCCTAAAGTTTAACTAATCACTTAACCAAGCAGGTTTTCTCTGAAAATCAGCAAGAACAGTGTATCATATATGGTAAAAAGTCAGAAGGAAAGTAACTTTTGAACGCTTAAACCATTTCTTATTTGTTCCCTACAAAGCTTTTCAAAACAGCTGCGTAACACAGATTTCAGAAACGTGATGGGGGTCAAACATAACTGTGAACTTAAGGATAAACAGTACTCTCAGATACTTCTCTGCAAGTCTTACTGATTCAAGGTTCTTCTTTATTTCTCTTGCATAGCTCAAATTAAGTCTTGGGTAAAAGTGCTATATGCCACGTATAATGTCATACAGAATTTAAAAAATATTGTAGGACAAAACGGATTATTCTAACTCAAAAAAAAAAAAAGGAAAAAAACTCCTTATATTGATAAAGCGTTCATTTTCACTGCTAAACTATAAAAGAAGCAGGGAAACTGAAATGTAAAAAGTTAGAGTCTTTTCACTGGAAAGTTAAATCCTTTGAAAAGCAAAAAATGTGTAACAGTTTCTGTATAAAAGCAAAGGCATTTACATTCAGTGCCTAGCGCTGTAGCCCACCCGGCCACCCCATGAGCGGCTGCGCGGCCAGCCAAATCCCAGCAAGAGTCTCGTCTTCTGCTGTACCCGGAGCAGGTCAGTGAAGGCACAGCAGTGGGGCTGGCCAGGCTGCTCGCTCCCAGTGCCGGTGTGGTGGCAGCAGGGGACACACTGCACCGGCGGGCAGCATGTTCCCCTGAGCTGGAGTGTTTCACACACACACAGGCACTCTGCTTCCTCCTCCTCCTCCTGTCACTGTAAGGCAGCGCACTGCTAACACAGGAGTAGTAAGACCATAATTACTCCGTTGCTAAGAGGTCACTTGTGTTTTAAAACGTCACCCCATATATTAGGCAGATGTATTTCTTCACTAAGGCACTGATCTTGTGCATACTTAAGTACAGCCATAACTTCACTGATGTAAGCTGCCTCACTAAAATCCACTGACATTACTTACACGCACAAGGACAAACCTGTGCCTAAGTATTTGAAAGGCTATGGCCAGATGATTTTGCATATTTACACTGCATTCATAAATACATGTAATTAAGCTGAGCAATATATTTGAGATTTCCTATTCAAAAAACTAAAAGAAAATGTGACAGTTTTGAATACAGAAGTCTCACAATTTTGTGGTTCTATTGCATGAGAAACTGAAAGACATGCAATCTTAGAGCTAAAAAGTGCAAGGCTAAATCACACTTACTTTTCTGCCTAGCTTTGTCATACAGAACAGTAATATCTCATTATACATCTATGTTAAAACAGCAACTAATATCTGTTATATTCAGTTAGTGAGACCGAGTCCATGATGTTTTCTAAAACGCTTTAAGCTATTTCCACAGCTGTAGTCTTCAGAATTTACTTTTCGTCAGAAGAAACCTCCACATTACCATTCATCAATTACTGCAGTCATACCTCCAAGTCACTGTCCGGAGGGGGTGATGGATTATTCTTCCGCCCTCTACCCCGAGACTTTGACCCAGAACTCCTACATGTTCTCTCATCAAGATCTTTGATTGGCGTGGAGGGGCTCTGCACTGTGTCAAACTCCCCTGTAAAGTCAACCATTCATGGCAAAATTAGTGCTGGATTTTTAAATAATAAACTTTTTTTTCTCAAAGCTAGACATGTCTGTATGCAAACTCAACCACAAGATGCACCTAAAAAAGTTGTATAAAATGAGTGATAACGTGGTTTGTCTTACGTAGATGGAATCTGCAGATGCCACACACACTTTTGACTTTACCAAGGAAACATTATAAACCTTAGCAGAATAAGAGACTAAGAAGAGAAAGACATACACATGTGCAGACATATATACAAATACACATGAGCCCACTCAAAATATTGATATACCCAAGGCAGATGTAATTAGAAGTCACACTAATGACTTCTCAAAACATGAAGTGCCTTTTAGTTAAGTTGTTCATTTCCCATGTTTGGAGTTCAGCTAGACTTCTTTCCGAGTCCTGCGTCACTTTTACCAGAACACCCTTTGGCACTCGTCCACGCAGCAGAACAGCCAGTCAGCTTCCTGCTTCACCTCCTCCTCCCATGTCACCTGCTCTTTAGTAGAGTTCACTGTTTTTTTCACCTTACCTCTGCCCATAAATTGGCAGAGGAAAGTCATAATATTAAATGCAATATTCCGGTTACGACCAGAAAGAGGGTGAAGTCCTACTTCTTGTATTCTGATCATCTTTCTCTAAGTATCAGCTATTGTCTGCTGTCAGAGAGAAGATGTGCTGGAAGGACCTTTGGTCTGGCATGGCGTAGTTGCTCTTAACACTCAGGCCTATCCCTGACTTACCCATTTAATCTACTTTGCTTCTGCTGGTAACAACAGGCTTTAGAGGTGATCACAAACCAGTAGCTATGTAAGACAGACAGACTGAAGAAGGTGTCTCCAAGAAGGATGGAGTGGAACTTCCCTTTACAAAGTACTTTTATGCCCCAGCTCAGTAAATGGAAAATATCCTTTTCTTCATAACACAGTACCTTCAGCGCCCCTTTAAAACTGCTAGCAATAAATGCAGTTTGGCTAGGTTCCTAAGTGCTAAATGACATAAAACCTCCTTCATCATCTATCCTGTTAACAATTTTATTTTTCTCCCTTAAAGAAGGAAAGGGTACAGCTTTGATATGACATCTACTACAGAGTTTGATTCAAGGGAGTCCTTGTGCTGCATGTAATTGTGTGTTTCTAGGCCATGTTGGTAATATTTGTTAAAAGTGCTCATGATGGCACATCTGCAGAATAAATTAACACTTGGTACAAACACTTCCCAAGAATCATCTATGATGCATCTGATTTTGAGCTGGAATCCGAACATTTTTCATTTTTACTAAAGAGCATCACTAAGTGACCAGCAGATCAAGGAAAGTGATTTTTCTGCTCCGTTCTGAACTTGCAAGACCACGTCTGGAAAAATGTCTAGTTTTGGGTCCCCAAGTAGAAGGGAGATATTGACAAACTGGAGTTAGTCCAGGTGAGGGCCACCAAGACAGTTAAGGGGCTGAGCACGTAGGAGGAAAGGCCGAGTGACTCTTCACAGAGGTATGCAGAGAAAGGACAAGATGCACCAGACAGAAATCACAGCAAGGGATATTCCTGTTAGATACAAGGAAAAAATCCTTCACTGTGAGAGTGGTCAGGCCCTGGGACAGGTGCCCAGAGAGGCTGTGCATTCTCCATCCTTGGAGATACTCAAAACTCCATTGGACACAGCCCTGAGCAACATGATCTAAGCTGGCTCGTCCATAAGCAGGTTGGACCAAAAGACCCGCAGAGGTCCCTTCCAATGTGAATGATTGAATGTTTCTGTGATCTTCCCTGAGTCATTCACCTCATTCTCCCTCCACAACAAAGGAAAAAACAATTCTGGTCTAGCAGGCTCTAAGAAGAAAAAATAGACTGCAGTCTCAATTAAGAGTCTGTGCATAGTGTAACACAATAGTTAAATTCTTAATCTCTTCCATCATTTGTTTATACCTTACAGTGAACCACATACAGAAGATTATTAAAATAAATATACAGGGAGATATATTTATATATCTTGACTGGAAAAATACTGTTGTATTTCTTGGAAGAACAAGATTTAAGCCCATAATGTCACATTCCTGAATGGGAGATCTAGACATTGTGAGGAAAAAATTCAAGATTCAAGGAAAGGGGAGGCTAAGAAGAAAGTTAGTTCCCGAGCGTATTGGTTACGACATTTACTTGGAGAAGGACATATCTAGGTTCCATTGCCTTCTCCGGGGTACACTTGTTTATTTGACTGAATGATTGATATATATGAAGTATATAGACATATTTTCATGGCCCAGAATCCGCATCCCTGTACCCCCAAGTGGAAGGTGATGAATCCTCCATGAAACATGAGGAAATCAAATCTGTCTCTCACTTCCTGGGAAAGTACTCAAATTATTCTGCTATCGCCTGGAAGAACATACTACTACTTTTTCCTTGAACTAGGTGATGACTACTTCAATGTTGCAAAACCAACGTGCTCCTCTTAATTGCTTCTCTCTTAATTGCTTGTGCAGAGCAAAGCCAAACTTTCAGGCAGCAGCTAAGAAGAGATTTTCAAAACTGCAGTTTGAGAATTTATTCCAGATATCATTTTAGATAGGTCTGTCCTGATTTGGATAAAGATCATATGCATTCTATAGTAGTTTCTCTTTCAGCAAAAACTCTTATTTGCCAAGAAATGATGGGAAAATTATGCAGCGATAATAATATCTAATGAATAATGTTCCCATGGTGTTTTCACTCGTCCTCACAGAACGGAGAGAGAGAGTTCTTGTTGACTAATCATTTCTATTCCCAGTTCGGTGTTGATGTCAGTGAGGATACTGCAGGCAGTGCAACGATCAATAAGGTCACGTTATCTTAGTTCTTTCCTCCTAAGAAGAACAGCAAAATATACTTCAGTAAATGTACAAATGTACAAAAAGATGCTTCATAACCAGAATCCTCGTGCAGCAAAAACCTACACTGGCTTCAAAAGAAGTTCTGAATGTGCGAGAGTTCTGTATGAAAACATAATTTCCTAGTTTTTTCTGACAGAGTGGAAAAAATGTCCCAAAAAAAACCCCCAGAAATGAAAAGGCAAAAATTAAATAAGTGAAGATGAACGTTTACATTCTTACCACAAAAGTCTTCATATTTATAACATTTCAACATTTTACAACAAAATCAAGACTCATTTCTACAGTAATGTATTAAAACATCTGTTCTCAATGACTGTGTTTACTCTAATCTACCGAAAATAAAATATAGAAAAAGCCATGTTCTAAATCTTCTCTGAAAGTATCCAACAACTGAAGTAAATAACTTCAATTTTCATTTAGCATTAGCTATTACCAGTTGCCCCAGGCTTCTGCTTGGGTCAATGCTGTACATGATTGCATAATTATCCATTAATCAGTACTGTAACTAATCACTGTACCTTGTAAGTTCTAGATATTTAAAGCCAACTTTATTTCATTACACTAATCTCTAAATCAGAATGAGCAGCTGTCTCTTACTTGAACGCAAGGTATGCATCTATTTTAGAACTGCAGAAGTCAGTAGTGCATGTTTTTTTGAACAACTGTAGGCTTAATTGCTTGATTTGCTTTTTACCAACAGCAGGCTAAAGGAGCAACTGCATTTTCTTATCCTCCGTTTCCTTTAGAAACAAGGTCAATGCTGATAAAAGGAAAACTTATTAAAAATTCAGCCATATAACATAAAAGAATGTAAGAAATTCTAGTATCAAAGAGTACTGAAAACATTACCCTCATGAAGAGTTCCTACTGCAGCTCACATTAGACAGAAATTTTTATTGCAATGTTTGAAATTTTTTAGCTTTTCCAATATTCAACACATGCCTAATAAATATACTTCATAGCCTCCTCCCACTGGAACTATGAGCAGCATCAGAGATCCAATAAAGCAAGAGGAAAATGTTAAAACCAGAACATGGAACGACCACTTTATCACAGATGTTCATACACATACTCATACACTGGTTCATGTCCAGCACGAAGCCTTCCATGCTGCAGAGACCTTGCAGCAGCAGCTGCAGTTAGAGGACAGGGAGTTCCAGCACCGCCATTACAAATGGAGGCGGTCTTTCATAGCCAGAACGTTGTTTCCCACCTCTAGTTTGATGTGAACATCCCCTCCTCCCTGTTAAAACACAGTTGTACCACTTAAGCAGGAGAAAAGAGATGTGGGCACAGTCTGCATATAGACCTAATGCCATCTCCTGGAGAAGCTGCAAAGGGTGACTTCATTGTGGGTACCAAATTAAGAGAGACCAAGCTCTGCTGCATCCTAGTAACCAAGCTGGAGCTAATATCCTGTAGGATATTAGTGATTCACCTCGCCTAACTCTGGACATATGAAAGTGAGGTGCCTAAACATGAAGCATTTACCCAGGCCTATTTTCTCTGCTAGGATTTTATCTGCCCTAGATGAAACGTACTCATGTACTCATCAAATGTACTCAAATGTACTCATCTCCTGAGACCTCATCTCACGATTCATCTGACTTATCCCAATTTGAGATTAAGTGCCATGGAGATACCTATTTGCCTCACAGATACTCTGTGGTAACGAGTGCATTTTGAAAAATCTTAATATAGGGCAGGCACAATACAAGCTCCAAAGAGAAGTCCATGGGAAGTTAAGGAGCTGAGCCTTACACAGATGTGAGATGGATGAACTTCTGAGCCCCTTCATACTCTCCTTATGGATTGAGTTTTGTTACATATTCTTACCAGACAGAGCAGCCAGAAAATGGCTTCGACATTACAAGCCTTTTTTCTCCTGGCTTGTAATGTGTTATTGCTTGTTATGAGTAGCAGAAAGAGTAAAGCCTATTTCAATTTTCATCTCATTTTCTTTACTCGGTCAATAAATAAAATTGTAACTGATATTAACTCTTGATCTGATGGGGCTTTATTATGAAAACAAGAAATCCTGTATGTGTGGAGAGTACTAGAGGCTTTGATTAGTTATTTGAATTAATAGCTAGCAGAGGTGGCAGGAGAGCGAAGTGCCTTGCTGTGTTTAATCTCAGGTTTTAATTGGAGTAAGTCTTAAGGACCGAGCAATAAAGGCCTGTTAGACAGCAAGTGAACAGAGTGAGTGCTGAAGCTCTGCAGTATGATCTACTGCATCTGAAGTGATCTCCAAGACACTGCACCTCACTGATGGAAATTTATTTTTACAGTGACGCAGAAGGGCACAGGCATGTCATGTATTCGCAAAGTGGGTGTTTCACTCTCAGCAGAGGGTCGCATGATCAGTGCAACACTTCACAGAAATAAGGAGTGTGTGGGCAGATTTGTAAGTTCAGATGCGCAACCTACTTAACACGAAAACAAGTTCATGTGCTTAAACAATCCACAAACAAGAAAAATCCTTACTGTTTCATAGATGTGAAGATTTCAATATTTTTTCAACCTGTTCAAACTACGTAAGATTCCTTTTCTTTGCCAATGCTATTCAATACTAAGGGAGTTTGTAATACATGATAAATTTACATAGCATTTCTAGGAAACACAGATACACAAGGGAGAGACAATATGGGAAACACTGACTGATTTTCTCAAATAAGAATATGGAGGAATAACAAAGGGACAAGGAAAAGTACACAGGACATGCGCAGTTATCAAAACATCACTTGTGAGTACTGTTCACACTCTCTTAAAAATACTTTACATGTGATTTGTGTCTGTTATGGATGTCCTGCGACTGTTGAAATTTCACTTGATTTCAAGTTACCTCTTAGCTTTTTCTTCCTAAATTTGCATTCTGAGACTACTGAATAACATCTTACACTTTCATCAAAAACGAAGGGAATGTGTATCTCCCCATATCCATTCCATACCACAAACACGTGCATGCACACACACACACACACACTCTCTTTAAAAATCAGCCTGAGGAAAACAGCTGGCTAGGAAAAATTTCAACTCATGCAATTAAAATTCCATGTTTTTAGTAAATTTAAGCAGCTTATATGAAGTATAAGGCTTTGCTTATACTTTTCTACACAGTATTACCCTTCCTTTGTACAAATTCATTATTATAATACATTAGTTTTTCTATTATACTTTTCAGTGAGATGGTGCAGTTGTTAGGATGAGAATTAGGAAGATTCATGCAATGACTCGATTTTGTGATTAAAGCACTTTTCCCCCCTATTCAGAGCCTAATCCAAAACCCGGTTTGTTAGTCTTTTTAGAAATGCTCACAGCCTGTGGGTAAGGCAGACACTACCCATGCTGCATGAGTGAAGCCAGTGTCCCGGGAAGAGATTGCTCTAAGAGCGCTGAGCCAGGCGGCTGGCAATTGATAACCTCTCTCATAGATGCTCTGTGCAGCCTTAGTAGGCTACTTAGGTTATGAATATATGACATAATACTGTGCCAGATCTTTAAGAACTTCCTGTATAATAGAAACAATACAGGAAAGTGAGCATGAAAAAGCAGGCTCTGTTCACCCAGTAAGGATACCACACTTGTCTGACTGTGGCTGTGAATTCCTAAACTAGCCCATGAAGATCTTCATAGCTCTGCACTATACTATGCAAAATTTCAAATATATAATTTTAACTTATCTTTACTTCAGTCCCATTTAGATTAAATGGGGGAAAATAAATTGGTGAGATGTTCAGGAACTTACAAATCTAGCATGAAAAAAAAAGAAGAAATCCGTATTAACATTTGTGTTTGCAGAACACATAGAATGGAGCAGGTAAATGACTGGGAACTGGGTTATAACGATAATGAGAAAAAATGAAGAGCTGCCATTATGCAGCGGCGGTGCCCTAGGAATACCCCTGCGTAACAAAATACTGCGTGGAGGTGGATGTGCGCAAGGGGGCAGAGTTGGGCAGGCAAAGCGAGTCTCCTGATGCCTCCTGAGAACTTTCTTTTTGCAAGTTCAACTACTTCAACGCTATTTCATTAAAAAGACTTGTGCTAATAACCGATTGCTCTATTCTTCGTTACCTAAATTCGTGAATTAGCAAGCACGGCTTGTATACATTTGAATAAAGCCCACATACTCTTGCTAGCATGATTGGGGCATAATTAAATGAACAACAGTATCTTGTTTCAGATTCTTTACAGCAATACATCAGAACATATAGGTGGATACAGGAATGTTCCACTGTCAGTGATAGGAGAGCTCACTGAATTTTTATTTCAAAATTTGCTAAAGGTTTGTTACTGTTTTGATACTAACAGATCCCTACCGGACTGCTGTAACTTTTTGCAGGTCTACTCCTTCCACAGACAACCATCTCAGTCTGCAAAGGGCTTTATTTAGCTAACAAACAAACTAGACAGGTTTCCTAACTAAACAAAGAAAAAGCTTATTTTGGTTGGTTTGCATGATAAAGTTTTCTGGAAGGCATGAGCTTAAAATGTCAATATTCAAACAAGGTGGATATGGAAATCTTGTCTTTATACAAGTACAGAATAAAATACAAAAATTGTTTTCACCTGAATGTAGATCTGTACCTGGTTGACTAGTCAGGCCAGGGAGAGAGTCCTGTAACTGATAGGTTGATGATGATGAAGTGCCATCAGCCGTGTTGTTTGAGGTCATATATGCACCATATGTTGATGCTGAGTAATACTGTGCATACTGATTTTGGCCAAAAGCTGTGTATGATGGATAATCCTGAAACAGCAAATGCAGCAGAGTACTTAATTAAGTAGAGTAACGACTGATTCTTCCATTAAGTATTTCTAAGCGTGCAGTCATGTGACTTTTGCAAGAGTTTTGGAGGTTTAGTTTAGATTTTTTAAATTTAAGGATATTTAACATTTTTAAATTTAAGGACATTTACTACAAGACTACAGCGAGGTTGCTGAAGTATTTAAGTGCCAAAAGATGCAGCTAGGCTTCCACTGGGATTTTGATCACTTTCCACAGAAAATAGCATTGAACCACAGTGAGTCTAATTCAACATAACAGTTCTAAATTAAAACAACATGCTATCATTGGAGTTATATAAATCCTTTTGTAATTGATAAACAAAAATGTTAATATTCATACCTGTTGTGAACTACTGAAGTTTGTAGAATTTGAAACAGAATTGTTTGCATAAATAGTGGACGATGGTGTAAAACTAGAACCTAAAATTAAAAAATACAATTAAGTGTGAGAACTTGCTTGTGAATCAAAATAAAATTCTAAATACAATATTCCATGTTAAAATATAGACAAATTGGAGAACAAACTACTTTTATATTCTGTTTAAACAATAACACACTGTAATGAAACTTTAAAAGAAACGAAATGCTACTTCCATGCATACAGGCATACATTCCTCTTCACACCATGCAAGGAAGGTATTGGCAGTAACTCATTACACCGATGGAGAAAGCATTTTTCAATTTATTGCAGTGTCTCACCTCTCCTCAAATATTATTTTTGTCTTTTGCTTTAATTTCTAAGTTCTAGCACTTTAGTGTATGTTCACTTATGAAACAAAAAACTTTTCAAAGAATATTTTAATGATCCAGGTGTTTTTAATCGACCTGTAATGAGGCATGTCCTTGTTTTCAACATGTCAGATGATTCATATTGTAGTTTGCAATATTTAAAAGATTAACTGTTGTATAAGAAGTTTAAAAATTATCCACATAAAACAGGTTATCAATGACCAAAGGGTAATAAGTGAATTAATAATTGAATAATAAATGAAAGAATAAATATGAATTAAGGAGAAATTCTAACAAATTATATTAATCCAAAGAGAAACAAGTATCAAATGATGTCAGACACACGGGAACAAGGAAAAATGACTTGTGTACGCTAATAAGCACAACAAATGCTTCCAGTCCTGCCATGTGATTTCACCCCAAAAGAAAATGAAGGTGCAAACAGGGACTGCATTGCATGACCCGATCTAAATTAACAGATAACCAAAATTGATAAATATATGCATATCAGTACTGGAAAAAAATACTTTGCTTTAAATTTTAGAAGTAAAAGGAGCTGTCAGCGACAAGGGTACTTGCCAGAGTTCACAAAATGAATGGAAAATGTATCATAAATGTGAGGGAAGAAGGGGCCGTCGGCGGCAGCAGGATGGGATGAGCCCTGACGGTGGTGGCTACTCACCTGGCATCTGATAAGAGTAGGGTGTTTGGCCTGGCTGCGGGGTGGAAAACCCTGGGCTGTAACTGAGGCACCCGCTCTGCAGTGGTGATTGGGTCTGCGAGAGCCCACTTTCCGTCTTGATGCCTGGCAACATTACACCCAAATCTGTATAAGAAATTAATTTTCAACCGATTCTTTAAAATACTTTCTTACAGTTGGGAACATAAAAAAGAAAGCGAAAAACATTCACGTCGGCATTGCTCTTACTTCTACGTAAGGTGAAGTAATAAGAGGTCAAATACCGTAAGTGGGTAAGCTGTACGGCTGTCCTGTCTGTGAGTAGGCTGTATAGACCGCTGGTTGCTGCATTCCTGAATACTGGGTTTGTCCGGCATAGGCAGACATTGTTTGAGCTGCTGGTGTAGAAAGAATGTGTGGATAGGGCCTAAATATTAGGAAAAATAGCATTACTGTGGCAACAAATACTTTGTATGTTGATTCAAGCAATAAAGTAAAGAAAAAGGTTTAAAGATGTCCAAAGGCAGTTCATTATTCTGCCAGCTGTTCCTCTTCTGGGATTTATTCCATCACCCACTGAAATGAGCTGAAAACCACTCCGGCTCACATTCCCCAGGGCACGGTGAATATTTTGTGCTGTCCCATCACTACAATTTAATTCTCAAGCTACTGTGTCCAGCTCTAGGTGGACTGTGCCACCGCTGTATGGCTTTATATGGATTTGACCCCTTTGAGCCAAGATCAGCCTCCTTAAATCAGAAAAGCCCTCACGCTTTTTTAATCCAGTGGAGGGAAACTTGGACTAGAAGACTAAAGGAAATATGGAGGTGAACATTAAAGCTACTACATTATGTCCTCTGTGTACGGTTCTGCTTCAACAGACATCTAGCCTCTGGCTTCAACGGGAGATGGATCGTGCCCATTGAGAGCAGCATGAAAAATATTGATGGCAATACTTTGGTAACCAGATGGGCTTTAAACATTTGGAAAATATGGGCTAGGAAAATAGAATGGAAATAAAAAAGGTCTTTTATTTATAAATACTGGGGTTTTATAGAGAGATTGAATAAAATCAAGTTTTAAATTTTTGCCCTCCAGAGTTACAAAAACATACAGAGAAACATTTGTCTTGGATAGTATTGTAAGTCAAATAAGACTTTATGGACCAAGAGTTGAATAAACACACTCTGCAGAATTACACTAACTGAAACCTGACCATTAAAAGCCATGACTAAATTTCAGATTCTAATTTTTTTTAAAATTTTTTCTTTCTAATTAGTTCCGTACAGTTGGCAGCACTTACTATCAGAAAAGGATTACTCATTAATTTAGATGCCAGTAAATTATTACAGTAGATTAAAAATTCTATTAAACCTTGTAATGTATTTGGCCAAAAGTATCGGATATAGTTTGCCAAAACCTGTTTTAAGTGGAATAAGGTGGACTGTTCTTAGTTCAGGCTCCTATTTTCTGTATCAAGCATTGGCTATCATGATATGAATGAAAATTTGCTAAAGAAACTTGAAAAAGACTTATCAGCTACAGTTTCAATGTTTTCTCTGTATCAAAGTCACATAGGTAGTTGTATCAAATACATGGAAACAAATAGATGGCATTCTGGAATCAAGCACCTTTGTGCACAACACTGATTGTAGGACAAGCAAACTAATAGCCTGCCAACTGCAGCAATTTCATACAGTATCTTCGGTGCTTTTTCCTAAAGTTCCCACTCCTGGATTCATGTGATTGCCCATGAGTCTGTTTTCCTCAAAAAAAAGTGAAAGAAATTTTCTATTCCTAACAACGCCCATTGGCTTAAAAATAAAAAAAAATGAGATTAAAAGCTAACCCAATGTATTTGATTTTTAAATCTTATAATACCAGAGAAGGAAGAAGAAAAGGTGGTTCATGACTGTGGAATGTTTGGAAACATTTGGCAATGCTGGCGCTGGGAGGGTCTGTGACAGAGTTACCCCTCAGTATGCATCTTGCACATGCAATTGTGATTTCTAAATATAAACTGTCTTCTTCAAGATATGTCTATATATGTTGCCAGCACTGTTAAGATGCTGATGTCTGAGAATGCAATAGTCTGATTTTTTCCTTCTGTTGTATGCAGATATTCAAAGGTATTTCTTGTGCAGCAACACTGTACTGCACAGAGCAGGATCTTACTCTGCAGCCATGTGAGGAAAAAGAAGTTGGAGAGAGAGCTATAATGGAGTCAGTACTAAGGCTTAAGTATTTTCCTTTCTCTCTGTTTCCTCTGCTGATGAACACTTGTTTGCAACAAACCACAGAACTGCCTACAGCCAAGGTCAATTCCCTATAAAAGACCAGAAAAGCTGCAAACACTAACTTGGAGGGATATATCTGCGGAGAGTACTGGTGCGCTGATCTTGGGCTGTAGCCACTACTTGTTATTACTGCAAAACAGAAAACAAGAGTACAGCAGTTAGAAACATCACGAGACCAATACAGCCAAACAGTCTGAATACTAATGCAGCAACATTAGCAGAGAAACTCATTGAAATGGACAGCTTTTCAACAAAGTAGATGTCACCTGAACTGCAACACCTTAACACAAAAATTAAAAAACTCCCAAATCATTCATTGTGTACAGAACTCTCTAGTTGATATGGGTATGTCATGCTTTTTCAGCTTGACTGGCTTGTTTCTGAATACATTGCAGAGGCAATTTCATATATAATCTGATCCACAACCATAGATCTTTCAAATTTGCAAGTTGTATTAAAATTGGTAGTTAAAAAGAATCTTGTGATTTAACATATGGTATTGCACGGGATTGAAATAACAGACACATACTTTTAAGTCTCACATTAACAACTTTAATACCGGGTAGGAAAAATATGTTTTATATGGGTGTGGTTAATTTCAGTCAGCTTAGGTGATGGAAGATACTTGATTGACAACTAGAAAACTAATACCATTCCTTATCAACAGGCAGACTAGAACATAGCCACCAATAACAATATTTTTATTTCAAAAGTAAGCATAAACAGTCCTGTCCAGTAGCCATCAAAACTGTGTATGTCTATACTATTCACAGCTGCATTCGGCCAAGAAAGCTAACAGAACAATAGTCATATCCCATTAAAATTTCATTCAGAAGTGGTGCTCACACTGGATTAATTCCAAGTGTTTGGAAGTTTCTCTTTCCTTTAGCCATCTGTCTTGACTAAGACAGATGTATTCCAAATATATGTACTCTAAAGTGTTGAACCAATCCCTTCAGAGCAAATCCATACTGGGCAAACATACAGAGTGTCTTTATTAGGCCATCTGCTGTTCATTCACTTTTCAAAAGATTAAAGTAGTACACAACGAAGCACTGGAATTTCTTTAGTCTAATCAATCATAGTTGTACTTCAAAGTGTACCCTTTTCCTGAGTTGTTCGTAATGGTAGCAGAAATGAACTTTCAGAATTATATAAGTGACAAATAGGTTTAGGTTCGTAACTATTTTATGAAACATGATGTACATCCAGGCCTAATTAACGTCTTTGAGATCTACTGCTTTGAACATATGCAGAACTTCGTATTTTTAAAGCTAGTTTAAATGCATTTAGAACATGAAGGACTTAAAAGGAAAACACAGTAGAAGAAAAACAATTAGCTTCTTTTTTAAATGTGCAGTTGAGTATGGCTTGAAAATAAAGAATTGGATAATAACTTTTGGAACATGTGCCACCAGATTTCATAAAAGAGTTGCTGAATGAAAAGATATTGAGGGTTTGCCTGTGATGAAAGTGTCCTGAATTTAATTTTGTGTGGATATTCTTTTTTTTTTGAGAATGCCCTTCCATGGTTTAAGCTCAATCCACAGAGTGATTCACTAGGTGTGCATACAGTTATTCCCGGAGCTAGACGAACCTACAGCTGTATATATGAACATAATCAGTCCATAGAACTCTAAAGGATGCTCTCTGTTATTTAAGGCTTGAAGAGTAATTAGTCTTCCCATAAAGATAAGCAATAGCTAACAGAGTGACCTTGGTGATTCTCAGGGCAAGGAACTTTTGTGCTCCATTATTGGCTTATAGGATCTTTTTTGCCTGTACTGCTCCACTTTTTGTCTGATCATTTGCTGGATGACAGCTCACTTGATTAATCAGTTTAGTTAAAGCACATTTATCATTCCACCATACCTGATGTAAACTACAAAAAATGAATGACTGTGCATTTAAACCACTTGAGCTATCAAAACCTAATTTTTTCAGCAAAAACTGTCCTGCCCACTTTTTTATTCTTTCTGCATATACCTTGTTTTATAAATTCAGACACGAAAACAAAATACTTTTGGAATGTGTCTGGTTTTAAATTTCCTTTTTATTTTTTTTTTCAATTTCCCTGATGATACTACCGTGTGCAGGGAAGAGAGAGAGAAAGAGGCAAGTGCCCCCAAAGTAAATTGTGTACTTTTCAAACTAAAAGTCTGTTCCTTTCACTCTTTCTCTGGTAGCTTGTCCCATTGATTTGTGCTCTACATTTTAGACTGTGAGATGTTTGAGAAACACAGGCTGTAAGACCTACCATAAGAGAACATGACTGAGTAGAGCCTGTGGACTACGCTTGTATCTCATAGATCAGATTGGTAATTCTAAGGGTTATCAAACTTAAACAACTTTCACTGCTGGATAGCCTCCTAACCCTACTTCTGAGGACTCTTGGCAACGGAGGAGATGGTGGGGGCAGGTTGTTATAGTTTTTATAATTGTGCCACTTTATATAGCCATTTAATGAATGGGGCTAAACACTGCTTTATGTTGCTTATATTAAAAACAAAATCAAAACTGTTTCTTCTTGAAAAACTCAAATATTTCTAAGACATCACTACTTGAATTCACCAGAGGAATGCTCTTCAGGGCAGGTATAAGACCCTTGATTTCTCAAGTCTCACTACAGCGCTGAGAGCATATTCCAGTCCCCACTAACGTTGATTCACAGAAGGGACAAGAAGCGGACAGCCAGCTCTTACCAGTTACCCTGTTAGCTCAACTGGCCAAGGTGGCTGTGGAGAATTTAAATGACCATAAACTGTTCTGATAGCATGTGTTGGGTTCAGTATATTAACACAGGCTGGAATTCTGTATTTTTTCATTACGCATCTGGAAAATTCTGTGCAAAGAGGTTAGGATAAAGGGATCTCATTTAAATAACAAATCACAATGTCTACACACAAGGGGACCAAACATAGGTTATACAGCAGTGGTGTTTCCTACCTTCACCTTTACAGCCTTCAGAAATTGTTTTCTATATCCTTTTTGTGTGTAATAAATACTAAGTAAAAAGGACGATGAGAACTTCAAATGTCTCTCTCTCTGCTCCATTAAAATGATAAGCAGTTCTCAAATTAATCCAGCATTGTAAGCAATATAAACACAAGAATGCATGCCCTTACAGTTCAGCAGCTGCAGCAAATTCACAGAGTATGAAAATGTTCAGTTCAAGGCTGTTCAGCTCTCCTCATCCTCTGAATACCCACCCCAATGGTAGTCTGCTGCAGGACCACAAAGCTTCAAATCGAGTACACCGATATTAATTACCAACTGTCATTCTTTGAAGAAAAAGGAGGGGGAAGAGGGGTGTGCAATGTGACTCTCCACCTGGCTAACCCTTGCTAAGAGGCACAGTTTCTCCCAGGGACAGCTCTGCAGGACAGAGGAACCGGAGCCCTGAGCGTGAGCTGCAACATGTGAGCTGCAGCCCTGAGCAGGAGCTTGCCCAATGGCCTGGGCAAGGTCACTGTCGCAACTGTCACTCTAAATTCAGGAGATCTATGATGTGCTTTATTTTTCAACTTTTCAGTCAAAAATTGAGGTTCATGACAGTTACCTGTGAAGCCTAATCTGTGTCTTCTACCCTATAACTCGCACGGTCTGTTTGACCATCACTTTCTGTGTTACAGCTGGTCATTAGGGACAGAGCTGGCTACTTTACACCCCACAGGGCTCGTTCAGCCGTCTGCTCAGCGCCAGGACACGTCACGGGTTTTGATTGCCCTTGGAGCATGGAAATCAATTTTAATGGGTAGAATATTTAAAGAAGAGGATTTCTGCATGGCAGACTCTCAAATGGGTCTCAGCACAAGGATTCATCTTTTCACCCATGTCTCATTTCATAAAATATTTAATAACATACCTAAATCCTTCCCTACTCAACCAAGGATGCTTGAGTCCTTCTGACCTACGCTTGTATGAGACAGAGTAGGTGATATCCCTGCTAGTGGCCCATATGTCTAGGCATCCTCATGAAATGAGCTCACAGGTGCTCTGAAAGCTGCAGGAAAGTACTAGCATTATCACCTTGTCACAGCTGGGAATAACACATATATGTAACTGATTATTAGGAAAAAATCAAACTGTTCAGTGTTGGACTTCGTTATGTATTATTTTTAATTGCAGCTGGTTTGTCTGAGATGACATCTTTCTACTAGTCAGTATTTATTGTCTTTGGCAACCCACTGAACTTCCCAAATAACCAGTTAGCTTAAAAAGTCAGAGAAATACTTTTTTGGTGAGTTTTTACTGTTCTTTAGCACTTCTTCCACAAAACTGAGCCAACCAAATTGTCCAATTTGCAAGTACCAGTAAAAGACAAGTGTGAAAGTAATGGATTTACTCTTATGAAAGGCTCAGTGCTTTACCAAGGCAGCTCTGCGTCTCGCTCTGATGATGAAGACTGCACATCACCCAGATAGGCAGACTATTGATTTCCCACTGTGAATGACCATACTCATTTAATACTTGAGTTTGTGGCCTAAACTGAGAATCAGGTTCATATTTCTTTTGAGTATGCAGGTGGCTAACAGACAAAAATTATTGTGTAAGGCTCAAATTCCTGACTTTTTTTAGAGGCACCGATTGTTTCCAAATCTCTGAAGTGTAGAGGTCTCAACGCTTCTTTTGAAGTCAGTGGACGCTAACGGGTGAGTGGCACCTGGGGAAATCAAGCTGTTACTTAGCTATCTAAACCTGAACTGGAGGCTGCAATTTTTGGCACCCCTTCATGAAAATGTTGCCTTAGCCATGTTTTACACATGGAATCCAACTCAGATGTCTTAAATACATGGCAGAACCTGATAGAATTTCACCAACAATGACAAAATCATATATATGGTTGGACATTTTATAATCTGTAATCATTACTAATATAATTTTAGGGTAGAGTAACAACAGAGTGAAAAAGAAAAGCTAATTTTTAGCCAAGACTATTAATTTTTTTATGGAACTTGTAAGACTTTAAGTTGATGGGGTTCCTTTCAGTATAATCATAATGAGGACACTGTTTTCATTTTTTCTAATCAGAAATAGTATACGCTTGCTTTACACCTCACAAAAGACCTTTTCTTCAGGCACCAAATTTGTTATAAATACTTTTCTGAATAACCAACTTTAGGCATTTACTGATGCCTAAAAAACAATTCCAGAAACATAAACTCAATTTTTAAAACATTTTCATTAGACAGAAACATTGTGATCTCCAAAATATTTTAAATAGGGCTTGACTACATCAGTCTACCAAACTAAAAGTAGTATCCGTGTGGAGTGGCGATTCCTGGCTTCAGTGACTTTTCAGTCAGGCCGCTACTGAACTGGTATTTCAGACGCAAAATTTATTCTCCCCCCTTTCTTTGTTAGTATTATTATTAACAGGATTCAGCTTAATAATTAGAAGGCAGATTATCTCTACTTTTCCACAGTTCATCAGCTTTTAATAATTTATAGGAATCTACTTAAAAATTGCTGTTTGTTTGAATTTTTTAAGAAGTAACTGAAACATGATTATTTAAAGTAAAATATAGACTTCATTTTCATGGAAAGTAAGTAGCTTATGGCAATCTGGTCAGTGTTTAAACTAACACACTGCTCATAAGAATAAAAAGATTAGCACTGAAATATAACCCTTAAGATTTTAAATTTTAAAAATTAGAATGGCTGTTACAAATACAATTCCTTTTTTTCTTCCTAAGATCGTACAAGACTAACACTGAGAAAAATCTACAGTACAATAATAACATTATTACTATAAGATTTTTGCATACAGTAATCGTCTTAGACATCATTAAAGCTTCTTTAAAATCATAGCTCATGAAAATTGTAGATTTTCATTTACAAAAATGAAAAAGCTATCATTATTATTATTATTCAGTATTAAAATGTTACTTTATTGTAGTTTTTTAAAGATTGCTTCCATGCAGTGAAATGTTCATTAGCGAAGGTTATTAAATGCTCTATTAATGTGCATCTAATAATACGTGATCTTATTATGGCTTTACCTGACCCAGTAAAAGTGTCAAGCGATCCATCTCCAGTTGTTGTTGCTGTTTCACTGCTGTTCATGGGTTCTGTTTTGACTGCAAGAAGAGACACTACATAGAAGAATAAGTAGACATGAGATTTTACTTCTAAATTTATTCTGGAGTCTTCATGCCAGTCTCACTAGAGGTAGTCCAGCTAGAACAAGCATGCGGTGCAACAGCTTCAACCTTCGCTCTACCACCGTATTGAGACAATCTACACTTGCTCCGTCTGGAATGGCCATGCACCTACATAACTTTTTATCTGTGCATTCATCTATCTATTGGTTTTAGCAACTGGAATATCTTCTGGGGAGATTTCAACCTAAATCTAATTGATTCTAACAATTCCCTAAGAGTAGCAGAGAGGAAGGAAACATTAGCTGTCAAGGCATGTAGCACATAACAAAAATAGTTTTGCCTGACAAGTGAAACAATAATAATGATATGGTTTCATGCTCATATAGAAGCAAACTACTTTCACAGTGCCAGCATTCTGCCTTTCCCTTTCCCCTGTTACAGAGTCTGTGGGGGACTTTTTGAGCTAGGTCACCAGCAAGCAATTTTCCATAAATGAAGAGAGAAGTTTAAAAGAAAAAAAAGCAAAAAGAACTGGGGTAGGATACAAACGACAGCCATGACAAGTTAGCTTCTAACTCAGAGGTTACCAAACATTTGGCTTCACTCTGAACTCAAATTATTTTTTACGGATCATCATGCACTCTTACCATCCAAGCTATAACTGAAAGCACCACAGAGGCAATCTAGATTTTATAGTTTAATATGTTACCTGAACAGACCATCTGGCATGGACTTTTGTAATGGAGTTTGGGACTCACCCTTCTAATCGATGTGGTAAGAAAGAGCGGTACAGAATACACTACAGCTTTTATTAGATGTTTGACTGGCAAATGTGGAAACCATCAACATATTATCACAATCGCTTTGCGAAGGTCAGTTAGGTGTGTGTGTGAGCATTTATCACATATATATCAGCAACTTGCTTATAGATACCACAGGCCCACACAGAGCGAAGTGGCAATGAGGACCTGCATGGGCCACTACCCTGGTCATATGCCAGGAAGGGAAATTCCAAGGACACAGTCCGGGATTTGTGGAGAAGCCTTTGCTGTGACAGGCGGGCTGGTGGAGCCCCGCCAGCAGGTCTAACATGCCAAGCAAAGGCATTTTCTGCCAGCTAGTTACCTGACGCCTCTGAGGGACATCAGCTAAGCTGACCAAAGCTCTTGTCTGTCAACATCACTGCATCCATGTTTGACTTCACTGGTGATAGTAAGGGGAGGGGGGAAGTTTCATGTTCTGAGCTGGCAATGTATTTACAAACTATGGCTCAGATTCAAGTCACCTAACTTAAGCATATAAATTAGGTGTATACTCATCTCCCTTTATGTCCACTTGAGAAAGAGGCGATTCAGTCCAAATACAGCCTGAGCTGCCCTTGAGTTCACCATCCCTCTTACAGTCTGTAGACAAAAAGGTAGTGGGTGAGCTAAATAAAGGATTTGGTTCTCTCATGGGAGAACAACACCTACAGAACCATACTGTTGTTCCTCCCTGTGTCTGTGAGCACAACGAGGAGCTCACCGGGAACTGCACAGCTATCAGTACAGCCGCCTGTGATGGGCCCTGCGTCAGTCACCCCTCCTACGGTATCACACCCGATTTCCAGACACACTGCTTAAGGGATCTTACTGCAGTAAGTCATATAGGATGCTGCAGATGTCTACAGTTGCACAAGTGACCTACGCTGAATTCAAAATACACCTGTCAAGTGATGTATTTGTCTCTGTGACAGGGAGGGTGCCCTGCAGGGTCGCCGGTGCCCCAGCGCTAAGGAAACCAAGCAGCGCTTTCTTACGCAAGTTTTGCAGTTTTATCTTTCCATTTACTGTGCAAGATTAAAAAATATTTGAATGTGTGTCTTTTAAATGTAGACTTCTTTTCATTATCGTTTCTCTTTAATAAAACTGCCCCACCCATATATTCTCCCTGCAAGCAGCAGGATATTAATTCAATATGAAATCATCAGGGAAGAATTTTAGCCACATTTTTTCAAGCTGCTGTGCACTCCTTGTCATTTTGCAGGCTATTATCTTCTGATTCAAAAAAAAAGCGGTGACAAAAATGAACAAAGTAATTCATAAGAGTAATCAACCATTCCCATTTCTCTATATAGATGAGAAAGATGCGATTTTATTTTCATCAAATCAATAAAATGTACATCAAGAAAAAGCTTAAGGGTCATTTGTCACAAAACAATTGCCTCCACTGAGCCTCGGGCCTCTCAGTCATGTGGAACATGTATTGTTGCCCGAAGCATGAAAAGTAACTAAATTGGTTTTCTGCTTACTATATACAGATGTCTGCATGTACTTCAGCAGGAGAATGAAAAATCATTCTAAGTTGGAAAGACTTGTATTTTCCCCTCTGAAGATCTTTGGTCATATTATACTTTATAAGATGCCTGTCTCTTTTCTCTGCAGAGTTTGGACATTTTACCTACATGAAAAAAACTACTTTTTAGTACCCTTATCTGTTTCTATTCAAGACGGTATTCCACTATTGCCCATACCAAGCTACAAACCTATGTTCAGTATTGCATCCAGCAAGACACTCCAGTATGTGTCTAACTGTTTTATTTAACAAAAACTTCAGTAATGAATTGAAATGTTTACTTTAGAATTGTGTCTAGTTCTGGTTAATGCCAGCTGCAGTGCACTTCCATCAGCACCAATAGTCACCATCTTTTTCTCTCCCTGTCAAGCAGAAAAGGATCTAAAACAAAAGAAACTCTCTCGTGTACTTAACTTGAGGAAAAACATCATATTGGCACTGTGTTTTGTTGAAAAATACACGTAAAGAGTATTTTTATATGTGCTTGATTTTAAACAGTTCTACTTTGTTACATTCTGATTTTATCACAGTAAGGAATTCATCAAGGTCTTTCTTCAGTATAGCTAGACATTTGGACTATTACCTTTCTTTCTTTATGATGTTGCATATCATTAAACCAAGAGGGGACAAAGAACAAAGCTAACTAAAAAAAAAAAGAATTCTAACATCAGATCAAAAACCCAAGAACATTTAAAGCTGAAATCAAAATAAAAGCTGACACCAATTAAAAACACAGAATCATCCCTACGTTTCCCACATGCGAGATAAAGCGTGGTTCTGATACTACTATGGCAACTGCTCTAGACATAATGCAAAGACTCAGAGTTTGAATCAGCATTTTGGATGAATACTTTGAAGTCTATACATTTAATATTCTATTTTTTAAAGTGTGGATTAGTTTTAATTTTTTTTTACATATTGAAAGAGTAAAAATGACATGAAAAACAATCTCAAGCTGGAAATACATTTGAGCGTTGCTAACAGTGAAGACTGCACATGCTAACAGAGCAGAGCTACCACGACGGTCAGGGGATGGGGCATATGATGTACAGGGACAGACAGAAGAAGCTGGGCTTCTCTCAGCTGGGAACAGAAGACTGAGGGGAGAGCTAATTGCTGCCTGCAGTTATCTAATGGGAAGGTGCAAAGATGACAAAGAACAAAGGCACACTCTTCTCAAAAGGTGCCCTGTGAAATGACAGGAGGCAACAGACACAAGCTGCAGCAAGGGAAAAATCCAATTAGATGTAAGAGGAAAATTCTTTGCCGTGAGAGTAGTCAGGCCCTGGGACAGGGGCCCAGAGAGGCTGTGGCACCTCCACCTCGGAGATATTCAACACTCAACTAGACGCTGCCTTGGGCAACGTGATCTAACAGCAAAGGTGGCCTGCTCTGAGCAGGGGTTGGCCCAGCTGACCTCCAGGGATCCCTTCCAAAATTAATTATTATAACGCGAACTCAGAATACAGCTCCCAACAGGCAACAGCTTCTACAACGTAAGTTCTTCACTTGATGAAAGGACTTAGCAGACCAACATGACTATTACTCTGCAAAGCTCTCTTTTTTCCTAAAGAACCTCTTAAGTTAAGGACTGAAAACGAACACAGAGTTTTAGGGGCAAGAGGTGCTACTACTATGCATGAAGCAGGACAAGCAAGTGCAATAGCTATTAGAGCAAACAAGTCTGACTAAAATCTCACATAAAACAATAAACCACACAGCTTGTCATAGGAATGATTTTCCTCTTTCTTTTAGCAAGCCTTAAGGGTTTTCCCAGGAATATACTCAACTAGAAGCACAGATCTAAATGTTGTACTGCCTATGGAAAATCAGATTTAATGCAAGTAATGCAAGGACTTTCACATTACATTTCCTCAATACTGATAATCAGTACTTAAATTATTACCTTCCACATTTATCTGAACACGCTGAACAGTTAACTGAGGTGACAGACTAAGTTAGCTCAGTCCTTCCTTAAACTTAAATTCTTGTAACTGAGCAGGAGCATTCACATGGAATCAGTTATTCTAGTGCAAACAATCTTTTTGCTCAAGTCTGAACTTTTTTGGGGGTAAATTCTCTCTGGGTATGTGGCTTACAAATGGCAAGCTAATTCTGAGGGTTTTTTTAAAAGGAAACTTTTTGATCTCTTCCTAACTTTAGTCCAAACCTGCACAACTTAAGCACCTGTGTAATGGCTTGTAGAGAGTCATGGTGACGCATGTTTACACCTATGATTAATCCCATATGTACTGCAACAGTGTCACATATATAATTATTATTAATCATTATAACTCATAACAATCAATAACACATGAGAGGGAACTCATAAATGAAAACAACAGCTTGGAAAATTTGGCCGAATGTTGTAAAGTGGCAAGTTTCATGCAGTAGCACACTAGACACAAGCTTTAATTAATAATGAAAGTAGTAGAGTAGTAACAATAATGTCAACCTTGATTTGTGCTCAGGTAATCATGCAATGTTGCACCTAAAAGTAAAAGAAAAACAAATGGGCATTCTGTGGAAAATTCTTTGGTCTGACTTCCAGCAATGCTGGCAGTTCCCAGCAATGTTGATCACCACGGGGCTCTACCAGTCTCTTAGAGCATGTAGACAGTTAAGCTAATTTTAAGTGGGTTAAATTCTCCTTGCTCACCAAATGACTTTCAAAGTATGGCAAGATAACTATTTATTGCAACTTCCTACCAGTTTTCGGGCTGTGGGAAAGGCCTCTGAGAAGGGGTGGAGAAAAAGGGTTGGGGGGAACCCCATGAAAATGCTCAAACCGCATAACAGAAGAACAGAGCAAACCAAGAGAGATGTTACACAGCAGTCACGGAGACACACCACCACACACATGCACTGTACCAGGGTCTCTCATACTCGTTGCAGAAGAGGGAGTACTGCAATTCAGCAACCAGTCTGCAGTATTTAACACAGTCATGTTGTCTCCTGAGAACAGGAATGGTATAACGGTTCATTGTCCCAATGTCTGTTCAGGGTACGTGAATAGCCTTCAAGGCAAGTCAGTGTTTTTGCACTTTGAGCCAAGTCTTTTAAGTGCACTGTATTGCTTTTATGAGTATTATTTTAACTGGTTTATTTATGCAAATATAATACAGAGGCATCTAGTTATTAGTGTTCTTTAATGGTATGCTTGAAGTTTTCCCTTCTCTTTATGCCGGAATAAAGATTCTATTTAAAAATATAAACAGGTTGAACCTCAATGGTTAAGCCCTTCTCTGCAGAGCTCTGTTACCCTCACATTTACATACACTTTTTATTGACATTGACGGATATATTTTACATAAATAAATATATAAAATATATAAAATATATAAAATGCTTTACATTGTGTCCAGAAAGAACAAACTAAAAAAATTTTCTTGGTGCCAACTGTTAAAATAGACAGCAACGTATAACCTCCAAAAAAGAGGACTGAAACTCCAGCTTGACTCGTATCCATGGTGTCACTCTCATGGACACTAATGGGAACAGGGCTCCATCTCAGAATGTGGTACCCTGCCTCCCACTGAACCAATTCAGCTATGGCAGAATCTATTATCTGAAAGCACTGGAACATCTGTGTTGTAGCTGTGTGGTTGTGCTGTCCCTATAGTAATAGATACAGCAGTAATAACCAGTTACTTTTGAGGAAAATCTAAAAATCTCTTTATGACAAACTTTCATTAGCTGCCAAGAAATGGAATTAGCATGTTCATCATGTAAAAAAATTACCTAAGCCTAATTTTGATGCACTTCTTTTGACAGAGATTTTAAATTAGCCTAAACATGTGTAGCTCAGAATATAAGAGTAAATTATTACTCAGCAATGAAGTATGACGCAGAAAATGCAATCTATTCCAAGTTACCAACAGGTATAACCAAACCTTTAACACTTTGTTCAAATAAACCATTCCAAGATTTTCCTTGTTTCACCTTTGCACAGTTCTGCCTCTTGCTTCAATTGGTACAAATCGAAGAAGTGCTGTTGGAATTAGTAGATTTACACTGGTATGACTGCCATTTTTTCATAATTCTTTCTGGGCTTATAAATGGGGTCCATGCTCATCCTTGAAATTATGTTAAAAAATGTATATGACTAAAAACTAGCCAAAACTTTCTATGTGCCATCAGTGTCTTATACTTACCTCCTGTTCCATTTGTTGTAACTGATGTGCTACTGAGATTAGGTTTATCCAGTTTGGAACTACCCGGTGCATCACTACTTCCAACAAGATTATGAGGACTGGCTAGATCTTGCATTTCCATAGACCTGTTAAAGAAGAAGGTGACAGTATTTAGACACATTGTGATATTATCTATAATAATATGCTTTTTCTGTAACAACTTTTTTTACATGGAGAGTTTGTAATGCAGCCAGATTAACAAATCAATACAGGTTCCTTTAAGGTCTTCTTCGCTTTTTACCAAACCTAAGAAAGTAGCTAATGATTTGATGTGAACAGCGACAAGGCCAGTATTTTTCACTTTTCCTTTAGGTATTATGAAGTAAACGACACAGGCTTATGAAACTGCTCAAAGAGCTTGTAAAAGATGTGCATGAGGGAGTGCATGTATATGGATGGACAGATGGAGGGATAAATGGATAAATGCACATATATAGGTATTTCTTAGAAGAAAACAGAGAAATTAGTGAAAAGTCAGTCATTACACAAAAAGTCAGAATAGGAACTTCTGCCTCCCACTATCTGTATTCCAACCACCATAGTCATTGCATCCACACTAAATCATAGGAACAGACCATACAGGTGAATGAACAGACTTTCACGCACATCTGGAAGATTTTTCACTCTTACAAATGCATATATTCTTAGTAGCTCACTTGATATTTTTTTCTTCTGAGTCATTTCTAGGAAACTTGTAAAATTTCAAGTGGATTTAGACCGCAATGGATTTCAGCATCACAGTTATACTGGGTGACCGTGGATGGCCTTCATTCAGTGACAACAGATCTGCCTTTCTCAGACAAAGCAGACAAAGCAGACAAAGCAGACAAGGAGCACTTCTTGTTAGACCGGTAATTGCAATCCAACTTGCAGTGTGTGCTTGCCTTTTCCTTGCTTCATTTATAAATTAATTACACAGATTTTTTCCCCAAAGAAACATTTTTGCTATGTATAAGCAAAGTTGCCAGCCCATCTGTGACTGGAGAACCATTTACCATATGTATACTACAAAGGCCAACAGAAAGATTGTCTTACAGAGCTGTAAAAGCCCAATTGCATTGTAGAAGACTAAAATGTCTAGGAAAGAGATGAACAGTTGGGATAGTTCAGTAAGAATAACCACTCCTGTATATTGATATTCTGGACAGAAAGAGCAGTGGCAAATTGTTAAGGCAACACCCAGTATCTTAAGTATTTATTTCAAGTTTCACTTTGAAATTGTCTACCTTCTGTGCTCCACACATCCTCCTCTGGGGGAAAAAACAAACAAACAAACAAACAAACAAAAACCTACCATCTTTCCATCAAATATGGGTCTGCTGTCTGAATCTATTTTTTTTCTCCAAGATAAGGGAAAGAAAAAGAAACACAGAACGAAATTGTCTCCCATTTTGTGCCCCTAATCCCATTGTTCTCCTAGATGCTTTAGCTTGCCTCTCGTTTAACCCAAGACACAGATTTAGAGCTCTCCTGTCTTGAGTATCTTCCAGGAAATGTAGGAAATACTACATCTCAACTGGGAAAATGCACCAAGGCCTTACCTAAAGGCACATGAAGCCCCGGCAAAGAATCTCATTGACTCCAGTAAATGCTTGAATCAAGCCTGAGATGCACCAATACTCCACTGGCAGGGCAGCCTCCCAGCAGCAGTCTGGATGAGCAGGGGAAAACTGATATTGCAGCAGGTCATGCATCAGCAGGTAACAATTTTATAGCCATATTCAAGGAAATGCAAAGGCATAAACTGAGATTTGAACTGCCTTGACCCGGATTTCTTCATCTAATTGTATATACGTTTCTACACATCTGTCAGCAGTGCATTATATTTATTGTCTACTGGAAATGTGATCAGTGTTAGACGAAATAAAATGAACTCAAGTGGTTTACTAGTCCGTTGGTTTCTGTTTAGTAGTTTCTGTATAAGGATAGCAGCTAAAGGTTAAAAAAAGTCTGTGAGTTTCCATCTTGTATGTATTTAAGGAAGCAGGAGAACGCTACACAAAATAAACAATGTGTGTTTCATTGCATATACAGTGTAATACTCCCCACGTGTTCACTTAGCAGTTTAAGTGTCATGATTTCCTGTTCAAGCATGATCAGCCCAGAGATACCTAATAGGCAGTTCCAGCTTAGAAAGTTCACACATGATTTTTTTCTTGTTTAGCATGAAAATTACAATAATTTCTTTTCAGACAGGCATATATCATGGCCACAGATGCAAATGTTTCAGCAATATTTTGTAAGCAAAATAATTGATTTACCTAGCTAATATATTTAGCAAGTATCCATCTTAAGCACTTTTCGCACTCAAATGAATCAGATTTTCTTAATCAAATCAGATTTTCTTAATCAGAAAACTAAATCCACTGATTTTCATTTGCTTGGCAAAGAATGTAAACAATCAGACTTTGTAAAAGGAGTAGTTTTGTTCCATACTAGTATGAAACCTTTTGTGCAGAAAAGTATTTTATTTGCCTTACATTTGTTTTCTATAGCAAACGGCATCCCAGTCCACAGACACGGCAAGTTAATTAACTAATACTATTTTAAAAGTAGTGTATTTACAAAGAGACATTTTCTCTGCATGAGTGAAAGACATCTTGCACATATTGCTGGTCTATTAAGGATAAAAAGGATATCCAAACCAATAAAAAGTTTCACAAAACCATGTGTATACATTATACTTATCCTGGGTGCTCTATCCTGTGTGAACAAGTAAGGGGATTATTTTAATATATCCCTATGTAATTTATTTATTCAAGTGCACATGTTACCTTCTGTGTAACAGATGTCATTCAGTTCACCTTTCTGGATGCATTTAGTTTATCTTTAGCCTGAAAAATTCTCGGGAAGACGTAACAGACCTACTAAAATCTTACCGTTTCAGTGAATGGAGGATTCAGGAAAAATGCTTAAAAAATGGATGAAATAATTCCAACATCTTGAATTCATTTTGTCAAACTAAATGTTTATCAGAGTCCTGCTTTCACTGACTTAATCAGAAGCAGGTTTGGGTTCAGTATGTGTTTTCCTGCACTAAAAAAAGTAAAAAAAGAGTGATCTCCGAAGGACCAATTAATACTTCTAAGTTTATGCAGTTATTTATTAAAGACTGTTTTCTAGTAAATGCAGCGTGTTTCAATTTAGACAGAATAAAGTCTATTATTAAAGCCGCTTAAAAAATAACATCGTACAACTTTATTTTCCATTTTTTGTTTCTCTGCCAGGCACGTAACTGTTTGAGCTTTACTTTTCCCCCTCTTGCATTGTCTCAGACTACTTTTCAGAGCAATTAAGTAAAATGCTAAATTGTATCAAAAAGTAAATTTTGAGAGGAAACAGATTACTTGGTAAGAAGATGTTTTAATCTTCTCTTGACTGTTTGTTTGAAGAACATTAGCGTGATTCCAAGCTCCTGAGCGAAAATCTGAAAACTGGCAAGATGGATTTGCCTTTTATTCTGCTTTGGCTGTGCTTTAAACCTTTGAAAATTGGTATTTGCACATGCTTAGTGGATCATTTTAGAGACTTACTGGAAAAGCCTCCAAAACATCCCATTCGCACAGCACAGCCTCCCAGATCCCCATAGGTTTCAACTCCAACCTGGACATGGACAACCCCAACAAACTGAAGCGGGTTTGTATCAAAAAGATGGCTGTGCGTGAATCCTGGGTCTTCCAGATTTTGTCCCCTGGCTTGAAGTGACGTCTTTTCAAGGGTTAACCCTCTGTTCAGAAACGGGTTAAGGAACAGCATCCAAAGAGAGAAATTTTCCCCGTCTTCACAACGGCAGACGAACAGAACTTGTGATGCATCCCAGACCACTGGAGTGCACAGCCCAGCATCATAACCCAACCTGGCGTAGGAAGGTTTAACTATGGCTAATTATGGTTGCCCAATTTGACAACTGCATCACTGTATTTCTGTATAGCTTTCGTTTGTATCATTTTAAAGGTAAAAAGTTCAAGCCTTGTTTCTAGGGTTTTGTTTTTAAAATTCCTGGGTTTTTTGCTCTCATTACAATCACATATCCATTTGTGTGCTGCTTTTCTTCGGCAGAATTAAAATCTATTTCCAGAAAACCTGAGTTGTTATAACTCTGTTATCCATTTGCATTCCCAATTAAAATACTATAAACATGGACTGAGAGCTGGGTCCTTCCACAACTCAAAACTCCATTGATTATTGATGAATTCTACAAGTAGATCATATTTAGGTAATTTTCTTCTTTAAAGAGATCATGTTTTACAATGTAAACTTTTTGCTACATAATCTACTTTTACTGTATTTCAAACTTTTTTACTAACAAGTTTGAAAACATGAAATCCTGTGTCAAAGATTTACAGAAGAATAAGTATTCTAATGTGAAAACAAAGTACTTCGAATCCTAGTCTAGACAGAACATTTTACAAATACTAATTCCTCATTGTGCAGCGTTTGCAGCAAATCCAGAACAAAAGAGAATTGAAAGAAGGATTAGCTAAAGGCTACTTAAAATTGAATAATTTCATTTAGTTTATAAATTAATCAGAACAAAACTCTTTACAAGTATTTAAAAGGATTTTTCTTTTTAAAATTCTTTAAAAGGAAATTCTCTACATAATTTTCTTTAGCAGAATCTTTACTAAACTTCACTGTGGCAAAAATCCACATTATCTGGGGGTTTTGTTTTGGTTAGTTTTCCCCTGCTTTTCTTACATCCCCCCTGTTGTAACCCCAGTTCTTACATATCCCAAACTTTCTCACAGAAACCTGGAGCCTTGTCCAATTAAGATGTCAGCTACCTTGGAGCTTCTGAATTTAAACAAACAGGGAGTTTCCCTTTATTTAAAATTAACTTTTAGAGCAATATGAAAGTTGGGTAACAGATCTGTTCAGACTTGGCTAAATCTGTTTCCTACTGCTGTCAGCTCAGCTCTCTGACCCACTACACAATTTTGAAGAAAAGTGGGGTGGGTTTTTTTCCATTTCCCACAGAAATTTTTTTAGCCAGTCTTTCAGTCATGTTCTGGACATGACTATTGAGCCCACCTCTCTTCCATATGCAGTCTGAACTAGCTCATACAAGTCTTTCGCTCCAAC